GTAACGGACTCTTCCTGTAAGTTGGTTGATCTATAATTATAATTAAATAATAACCGAATGTACAGTACATGCATCGATATTTACATGTCTATAAGATACGTGTACATTACATCTATGTAAATATATTCAAAAATTTTTTATAATTAGAAAAATATTAAATTCGAAACCAAGTAGGCCTGAGATAATTAAGTCAACATTAATTTTAGCATTATTTAATTTCATGGAAGTATCCCACGGATATATGCATTACATTAATTATAATTACGATGGTTTGATTTATTTGATGGACAAATCTAATAGAATATTATGTTTTTTTTAATTTAGTTCTTATGTGATACCATTACATTATGTTATTTACGCGTATACCAGTCTATACTGTATACGTATGTATTTTATTACAGGGACGTAATATAAGGTTGAGACAATAATGAACTATACTTTGCGTATATGGCAGAGCTGTAGTTGTGAATATATCAGAATGGAAATGCCTGAACGATTTACATCTAATGCCGCATTATCGCTATTCCTGGAGATTAATAGCAACAAAGTTAACCTTAAATGCAGATTTTAAACTTAACATTCCAATGACAGTAATCCAATCTAGATTCTCTTAGATTCTATCTAATGCTGTAATTATTTATTCGATGTACGGTTAGTGTGTATATGATAACTGAACTGAAATAGCTAATAATCCTATTTAAGATTATTTTCGCTTTGTAACCACTTTACGCTTGTAGACATTTCTGTCCGGTATATGACACAATGATGTCGAGTGTTATGCTTTAGTTTCTGTAGTCAACTCGGAAATGTTAGTGTTTCTATGAGTTTTATACCACCGTTAATTAAAGCATAGTGTATAGATAATATGGATAGTAAGCGTAAAGAACTGGATATGAAACTGGACATAACAACAGTGAAAATATTTACTATTAGCGATAATAATACATCCAAATCTTCGTTTTAGATAGAAATATAGGGCTTGTCCTACCGTAAATATTAGGATCACGTATTATGATCGTCGATACCATCGTAACGCATTATATCGATGGTGCACTGAGTTTTCTCTTAAGACTGTCATTTCAAGTACTGATCGTTCATAGCGATTCTATGACAGTATTGAACAAAGCAGGTACGGTCTGTTTATTTATAACTATCACGATATGACTAATAGATAGATAGTTGGGGGTTTGGGGCTTTCAAAGTTAAACTATAATATCAAGACAATGGAATATATCTGTCCATGTGATATGACTAATCCTGATAGACCTTAATGAGCAACTAATTTACGTCGTAAAATTACCCATTAGCGATTCTCGAGTTTATTAAAATTATGCAATCCCTATTCTATATTCCTACCACGCTATGTTCCAATGTACTATAAAAATAAGATTTTCCCTCATTAAAACGAAGAAATCCAACTTAATGTAAGATGTAGAAATCATCTAGCTGACATACTTTATTCGTGTGTCATTGTTGTGCTAATCTATTCAAAAATAAGATCTACCATGTGCATATACAATACAAAATTGATAGTACACTGCAAGTTTCACAAGATTCTATTCATAAAAAATGGATGAAAGTCCATTCATAATGTCTAGTTTTCTTATAAAACAAAAAATATCCTCCCTATCCCAGATCACCATAGCAACCTGGTCGACGCTTCATTTGTATTGATTTTCCATCGATTAAGTCAAAACAAACCAATGTGAAATTCTAGTAATATCTATTAGATTAAGTAGATAGAATTAGGTGAAGCTGCTGTAGTACAACAATGTAATGTGGTCGGCATAGTATATTAAAAACTAGGATATCGATATTTCATCACTTTAAGATCTTGTCGGTCAATTATTGACGTCAAGTTGGTAAAATATTAAGTTTGGACTACTTTATAAGCAAATTAGTTTCTTATTTGCTTTCATTCAAAGCCGATGGACCATTTTAAGCAGACGTAAGTTATAGCATTGAGTACACAACAAGGATGATGTTAGTTTTACACTAGATTACGGTAGAATAGTTTAATATCCAACTAAGGTTATGGACTGAAAATTCGATCACGAACGCTTTCACTCTGCTTATATCTTATACCCTTACGTAGATAATTGATTATTGGTGCTGTTTTTTTTGTTAGATGATCAATTATAATTATTATTACATCAATTTATCATATAGCTACGATAAGCTAAGATATATAACAACAATTATGATAAATTTACTCTAATTTGCCTCGGCTTAGCTTTACGTGTATTCTGAAAGTAATGCCGTGGAATATAGTAAATAAAAATAATATAAAATCGCTCAAAAATTAATATTTATGTTGTATCCTTTCATTCAGATAGTTGACTACCTATTAGACCTACCATCTTCTGTAACTAACTTCGGTTGGCAGAAACAGCTTTTGAAAATTGCTGAACTCAGAATCTATTATTTGAAATATTTTTCCCTTTAATTTTAAAACAATTACGGCGTAACTATTATTGGAAGCCTTTGCAATTGGACGCGCCGATATTATCGATGAGAATTAGATTTGCCATTATTTGATCAAGACTAGACCCGATATAATTAATCTATCTGCAAGCAGTAAAGATAATACGCTATCATGCTTAATACTAGAAAGTTTAAAAGGGCAAAAAATAAAATTAAAGGTAGTAATGCTTACAACAGTAAAGCTACATCAAAACGAAAAGGGCATAAAGTGCTTCAATATGAAAGCCAAGTCAATCGAGTTCAGTTTCCTTCTCAGCAGCATCCTGATCAACACAAGGTACGCTAATCATAACTGATCCATTCTTATAGTGTAATTTATTGCTTCCTAAAATAGTAGCTTACGATCAAAGCAAAGATTTTGCTGCATGACTAGTCTATCGATAATTCAACCATAGTACAACAGCTGCACCATTTATTGATAAGCTAAAAATTGTAATAATATATTTATTACTTTTGTAATGATTAAATTTTAAATATATTTTATAAGATGGCAGATTAAATCATTAAGTAATATGTAATATTTCTCTATAGCAGCAGTCGTACAAATATGAGGGATTACTTTGTTACTACATCGGTGATGATTTAAATACAGTTTACTGATTAGTATTATCATCACATGAATTACGTGAGCACTATCTACTTTAATTAATAAACTTTAATTAACTTTACTAATTTTAAGTTATTATCCAAAGTATTATCATTTGTTTTAGGTAAAATCGAAATACTAGTTTAACTAGAACTTAATGTTATGATTAAGCTCAACGACCAGCTATATTTACAATAAGTATAATTATATCGCAGAGCTTATTTAATTTGAACTTATGTGAAGAGAATGAGACATTGCCAGGTGTCTGCAAAGCTAAATCAATCAACGGAATAGCAAGTATCGACGATGATACAGAAGTAAGATACAAAAATGCGGTTAATTTATTACCTAATATTAATAAGAAATTTCAGCAAGTAAATAATCTCATGATATTCGATCCCATATAACATTCTATGCTTGAATTCCCCCGCATTCTAATTTTACAGGACTCGATACAAAGTTCTCTCAGTAAATTAAGCTCCGATAGATCCTGTGCTGATATTACAGAGTCTGCTCAAACAAATAATAAAATTTTACCTTGCTTGGATAGTAAATCGAAAAGATCATCATCAGTCAATACAGATGATTTACCTGAGCAAGAAAATAGGAAAGTCGCTGCTACCAAAAATAAGGGAAAAATCAGAAGTGGTCAACAGCAAGTTATTAGGACAAAAACTTACAATATTGATCATCAAGCTCAACCAACGAGTCATGATGGCAATAAAGTTAAAAATCTGAAGCAAAATCATCAATCACAAGTCAACAAACATCGCCAACATTGCCGACGCCAAACACATCCAATGGCTAAACGTGAACAACACTATTCTAAACCAATACCAATTCCAAACACTAATAGAAATGCTATTTATTCTACCTCGTTTTCTCCACTTAATTTACCTCGTTTAGATATGAAGGATTTGCAGGATATTATAGCAGCAGCAATTAAGGTAAAATAAATTTTTCTTTTCTAGTCAATAAAACGGGTTTAAATATGATGAACCAAACGATGCTAAGAAGAAACACATTTATTACGACAAATTGTGAATTTAATTCTAGTAATAATGTTTTAGTATATATTATATTGAACAGTACGTAGAACCTTAATATAAGAAAGTGATAGTAGTATAGATTATCGACTATATCCTTTCCACGTACGAAAATTTTGAGCATTAATATTGGTTAGTTAGTAATGATACTCTCTAAATCATTAAATTTCTTATCATATTGTCGAAATTAGCTACTATATGTAAACTCCATTGATTTAAAAGCCTAATGCGTATTATAAATTAACATCTTAAATCATGGCTAGTGAATTAAGTTACTATTTTACTCACAGTTTTTAAATTAAGTATGAATTTAATAATATTTCCATTATTAAAAGAGCTTAAGAACAGTATTTTATTATGAAATATATAAATTATTCCGATAATGAACTTCCCTTTACTGAAATATTTTGAAGCTCTAATTTGAATCCTATTTATTGACAGCGTCGCAAGATATTTCTATGTATAGGAAATTACCCTACATTGCGTAATTCGTTGCGAAGCCGTCAGTGGATCGAAAAAGATTATAAGACACGTCCACCCAATGCTAATATTGCTCAAATTCTGGCTTCTCATGAAGAAAATATTACTAATAATGATAAGAATTCTAATCCGTCTCAACTTGAAGATGGTGTTTTCAATCAGGAATCCGATGACGATTTAAAAGAAACAATCAAAGCACATACTAAACTCTTGCTTATTCGAGCTAAGCATGCTTCCCCTATGCATGATAGTATTTTAGATCGACAGTATAGGATGATGGTAATTAATTTTAATATCGACTTTGTATCTTATAATACTCTCTTCATTCTATTCAATATAATATTAAATTTATCGATGTATATATACGAATAATTCTATGAAATTTATCGCGACAGTCGAGAGCCATACAAAATCTTCAGCCAGGTCTAATATGGACTTCTAAAAGAGACGATATCGATTATAAATCGCTAGCTAGGGTATAGTTCATAAGCTATTTTCTTTGAATTAACTATATTATTAGAGGACTATGCTCGTCTAGGAATATCTATGTAACGCAGACCAATAATCTGATACTTGATATAATTGCAGTATCAAATTGTTAATCATTATGAGAAAACGATCCCGTTAACAACGAAGGTCAGTTTCCATAATGCAACCTAAATTTGTTTTAGTATTTACTAATTAGTTGGAAAATGAATTACTTTAGTTCTTTTCGTGTTACTAAGTCTTAAATTCTTTATCGCTTTCCAACCCAACGTTGCCAGGTGGGTTTATGTACAAGTATAAAAAATTTAAGTTGGGTCCAAGAAATTGATTCAGACACAATTTTCCCGCGATGTTTTCAACTTCACATGGAGGAAGAATTACAAGCTTTTATAGGTTAGTATTTATGTAGATAATTTTAGCTAATAGTCTCCACTGTTTGTAATGCAAAAATAGAGAGCAAATGGAAAATTGATTACAAAACAGTAAAATTCATGAAAATATCCGTAACTATATTGAGAGAAATTCATTCCTGAATTTTTAGATGACTTTCGATTAACAGCGGCAGTTAATATCCTAAAATGGATCATCGATCCTAGCATTAATGGGAAATCGTCTAAAGCGAATTCAAAACATTCAGAAAAAATTCACGATGCTGTTGTTCGATATGCCTTGCAAGCTTGTGAAAATTATATCGAGTGTCAGACGCATTTGGATCTTGATGTGGCGACTGATCTGGTTAGTATCCATATTTATTTCATGATAATTTATTGCAAAATTTTGCAACTCTACTGCAAGAGTAGTTCGCAACAGATCGCCTAGTGTATAAGCAGATTTAGTCTAACACCAGACAAATTAGAAAATAGAGTGATAAATTATATTCATAAAATAGATTATGAGTGTGTAGTATTTAGTTTGAAATTGCTAAAAGGATCTAATGAAGCTAACAATTTAGAGGTGTGATCCTTCATTGCAAAAGTTCAGTCTTAATAATTGTACATGTTTTGTGCGCAAATAATTTTCTCTGCATATCTAAGTAGAGTAGAAATTTTAAAATACTCGTAGATTTTATGGAAATAAAATATTTATTAGTAAGATTAAAAAATTTTAAAGCGGATAAATTCGATGAATATATAATTGGGATATCTGCAATTTTAATTCGGGTCTGGATAAAAATTTTGTCTCAATTTCTAAGAATCAAGCAGCTACTGAGCGAAAACAAACATAGTCGCCTACTAATTGATTCCAATTGATTTTTTTTTATAGAGATCTAAATTGGATGATAATAAGTGGAATTTACTGCTGTCATCCTATTATCAAATTATCCAGTAATTAATTAATTAAAATACCAATTTCTATATCGATGATGGTGTTAATTTAAATTTGAGAATTTTAAATGAAGAGAAATAGGCTTGACCATGATAAGATTTTTTATCCAGTCGAACATTTTATAATACCGTAAAGAAACTATGTAGAGATTTTTGAATAATTTCACCATATATTGAATACTTTCTGTATTACTACATTATAGTCAAGATATTGACTTTAGCAACCGTGATGCCTTCGCAGAAGAAGCCAAGAATATGTTGCAAAGTGTAAGTTTATAGTAGCTTAAATCATCTTGAAAATTTAGCAAGCATGAAATGTAAAATTTAAATATCCTATTCAAATATCCTATTCAAGATTATTCTTTTATTGTATCCACTGCAACATTTATTAACTCAAAATTAGATCATAATTAACCTATTTTCCTAGCTATAATATCTCTTGACAGAATTGTAATCTTTGCTTAATATCCTCTTCAAATTAACTAAATAACTTGCTAATAATTAATTTGGATCGATAACGATGTATCGGCTATTAGATCAAACTGTTACTTCCACAATTCGATATTGACGGGGTTCGAAATGTTTGGATTATGAAGCCAGCTGCTAAATCGCGAGGTCGAGGTATGGAGTTTAAGATAGATCCAATCGATAGCATTATTAGATAGAAGCCATAGAAAGTCTCTAAATAAATACCTGAGCATTCAGCTGGTATATATCAAGTTTGAAGATATTTACAAATTCAGAAATCTAAAGCGATTTAAATCTAACAATTGTACATTTAGAATAATATCCTACATCCAATTACTGCCGTCGTTTAACTCCCTAGCGATAGAGTTTCATCCAGTTTAGAAGATTAATTCCGAATTCCGATATCTAATTGTTCACTATTTACAGTCATTTGCCTACATTTAGCAGTAAAAATAAATTTAGCTTGTAATTTATACTCAGTTAAATTGTCTTAACAATTGCACTTGTACGATAGCTTGTACTTTTTCTATTTACTCTAATTTTATCCATCATAAGAGTTGATATAACATGGAACGATGAACATATAAAAAAATTCCTATTTCGTTTTTAGGAATTGTTTGTATGGACCGATTGAGCAATATTATTGAATACTATCAACAATGCCGAGAATCCAAATGGGTTATACAAAAATATATCGGTAAACCTAATATTTTATGTCATAATAATACATCTATATTAACGACAAAAATCGGTTATCGCGATTAATAGTTTACATTTATCTAGCTACTGCAATATATACGAGTAGCTTTAGGTGATATACACGCAGACATAATTTTATGAACATCTCCAATCGATACTTCCTTTAATTTATTTATAACGTTAGTAGTTTTCTGAAATACATTTATAAATTCATAAATTACCAATGTGTATAAAGTTATCTTATGTCAAATGATTACAGATCGTAAAATTCGGTATTAATTTCTGAACTTGCTTTAATTTTGTAGAGAGACCCTTGTTGATCTATAATACAAAATTTGATATTCGCCAATGGTTTTTAGTGACTGATTGGAATCCATTAACTGTTTGGATATACAAGGTCTAGTATATAATTTCTTTTAATGAATAAAATTAGGCAATTTTGTTTCCTATATACTTTACTTACATTTGTCATCTCTTGTTGATTGTAAATAGGATTCATACTTAAGATTTTGTACGCAGCAGTATACATTGAACAACTTAGAAGAGTAAGTCCCGATATTGAACATTAATATTGCTAATATTAAAATAATCATTTCGTTTGATGATACATTTAAAAATAATAGAGCACGCGATCTCACGTCAATATTCTGATCATATTTATTATGCAAATTAACCAATACTAACTATTTTGAACCATCTATTATATTAGAAAGATACATTTATCAAATAATGCTATTCAAAAGAAATACAGCAATGGAGAAAGATCTAAATACTTACCAGCTGAAAATATGTGGAGTTCCAATAAATTTAAGCAATATTTGAGGTTTGAGTCGTCTTACAGCGAAAGCGCTTTTTTAACCTGTTTCAATCCAAGCTCGATAATTTCTGATTGGAGATCTGATAGTGATCGACATTGATCGCAGTTTAAATTAATTATTTCATATTAGATTCTATTCTATTTTGCTACTGCGTACTGTAATCGTTTAAAAATACAATAATAATTTCTTAATTAATAGACAACATAGTCACTGCAATACTTGGGAAGAAATTATATATCCAGGCATGAAGGAAATTATAAGTCTAGTATTGCAAGCAAACCAGGAAACCATTTCCGACTATAGAAAGGTATGGACAAGTGGCAAATTAGGATTATATTTCATCTAGACTAATGTAGCAATCATTTTGTTTAGCCTTGTAAATTAATCTTAATTTATGATCTTTACGTAAGATAGCGAGTTACGAATACTATTGTATCTTAGTCTTCTAACTTACGTACTATCTTGACATTTTTCGAGTATCCAAGTGGTTCTAAATCCGACTGAGAGATGTTTACGACTTATAATTGACCATATCATATCTTATCATGGATTCTTTTTAACATTAGCGATAGAAACATTAAAGAGTTAAAATTAATTTTATAATAGTACGATTTACGAAAGTATAACAGAGGGCCTACATACCTTTCATCAGTTTCCTGTCATCATTTTTGATGAAAAGCGTTCAATTCTATCTTAAAAACTAACCTAAAGTTCTTTCATGTATATATTCTTTGCATTAGAATTCATTTGAACTCTTTGGAGCAGATTTTATGTTGGGAGAGGATTTTAAGCCATGGCTGGTAAGTTTATAGACGATGCCAATTCTGAAATTTTACACCTTAAATTTACAAAACATGTAATAAACTTTTATATTACTTTCCGCTTAAAGTGAAGGATATTTGCGTTTAGGTTTATGCTTAATTTGTTTCTGACGTTATGCTTCAATGTTAATTCTAGATTGAAATCAATAGCTGCCCCGATTTATCCGCTTCAACATCCGTTACGGCTGAGTTATGTGCATCAGTTATAAATGATACAATTAAAGGTAAAGTTACCAATTTAAATTCTTGAATAAAAATTAGAATTGTACTCAGTTCTCTTCTTGAGCATTGCTATTAATTTACTTTATAGTATATTATGATAAAATCAACAGATTTTCATTAAGATAGAGCAATAATTTTCTACCAATCCATTTTAATTTGCTAATTAATTGTGAAAAAAGGAAATGATAGTGCCTGAAAACTAATTCAAACTGAGTACTATTAAAATAGTTAGTCTGCTTATACATGTGTATTCAATCATTTTTAATTGTAATCCAGCTTAATTTATTTTCATTTTCTAATGAATTTATTCATTCTCCATTTTTATATATAGTGATCATCGATAGAAAAGAAAATAAATCTTGTGATATTGGAGAATTTGAGTTATTAGTTAAGAAAGTAAGATTTCAGATATGATATCGTCAATTGAAATAATTTTATTTTATATCATCTTAAATACCACGTTATGATCTCCCGAATACTGTATTAATGCTAATTCTGAGCAGAATACCATTTGTATTAACCTTATTTACATACTAATCAGCTGAAATTAGTATACTGTGTGTTAATGAATGTTACATAATTGATTTTAACCTGTATTTGTATATCAACTACAGGTGGTTCACCTAGTAGCTAGCTGCTATTTATTCTTTAAAATGTTTTTAATGTAAATTTTGCCGGTATCAATTGCTTATTACTTGATGGAAATTTTGAATACCGTAGTTTAATAATCATGCTGTGTATTTTTGCGTCAAATGATAACATAGACGAGATTATTTCTATTTTAGAGTTTGTAGTTGATCATTTATTAACAGATTTTTATTTTATTCTTAATAGCAACCACTGGAAAGACCTGCTTATGTTGGTCTAAATTTAGCTATCCACGGTAAAAAAATACCGAAATTAATAACCGATAGGATATCTCCTAAATATGAAAATAAATTAGAGCAATTGCTAAATGGGCCACAAGATCCATCAACAGCACATAGGCAGCGCCAAAGTGGGTCCCAAAACTTGAATCATTCATCCAATAGAAAAGATTTAAAAAAATTGTTAACGATGGCCAATATACGCATGCAAACTTCTGTGTATCAATCAAATACGGTCTATAACGAACAAACACATAATTTGATTCAATCGAATTCATTCAATCATGCAACTACAATCAGCAATAATAGCAACAAACCTACCTATGCTACTAAAACTATACCATTTTGTACCAAACCAATCCATTATACAGCAATATTGCAGAATTTATTACAGTCTCGTGGCCCTATTAATAGTTAAAAAATGAGATCGAAATCAGCTGCTGTAAATAATTATATTCGTAAATATTAAAATAATCCAACAGATCATTTTCAATAGCTTACTGCCTTGCTGTCTGCAAAACTTTGAAGATCAATCAAAATTGTCATTCGTTACGACGGTTTATCTTCTTCTTCCCTACATTTTACCTATTTGGTGATATTATTCCCATTTTTAATAGGGTTTTTTCTGTATCAGTTATATCTACGATGTATTTCATCTACTAAAAATTGTTACTGTTAGCGTGTACAGGTTGACCACGATTACGACATTTGCTAATCTATGATTGCGAGCAATGAAATCTTTAAATATTATCTTGAATCGCTCTATTATTCTATCATTTCCTTAACTAATATTAAATCTTGATATACACTCCAGTTATGATTATACCAAGATCTAAAAAATTAATTGCGTATTAAATTTAATACAAATATAAAATATTTGCAAAATTATAAAATGTAAGAGTGTTAACCCGTTCCATTTACACTTGTAATTTAATTTCAGGATATTGTATGATAGAACGATAGGTTTAGAATGATATGCATTACCACATCGTCTAATGTATAAAATTTCAATCATTTTATCTTAAAAGATTTTCATTTTGGTTGTCAATATTAACTGAGAACTTTGTGCATAAGAATTTCATCCTGCTGTAAATCACATAACCACAATATTATAACTATAATAAAGAACTTCTAATGCTTATTACTTGGTTGTGAATCAGTAGCTAACACTGATAGCACTGTATATACGCATAAGCTCTATCCATATCTTTAAACTCGACTGAGAACTAAATTTGCAATATATATGAGTAATTTCGATTCGTATCAAATACGCAAGTATTTTAATCCTGTAATCCAAACTTTGATAATGCCAAAAGGAGATAGAGTGATTGATGAAGGTTCGTAATAAATTGTTACAGGATTAGCAGTTGTAAGCCTATTAAATAATATAGTTAGTTGAAATATCAAAATAGTTCCTTGTAAGACTGTAAAACATGGGTCCGTTAGCCATATCTTATTCTTCTGGCATGGATTAAAGACGTAGAAGGCCTTATGTTCAGTTACTTCATGGAATATTACCGTATCGAGACTACTCAGACATGAAAGCGTTACTGCAGTCATTATTAGTAATTTTACTACTTTGCATTACAATTAACATTAGAATAACTTGATTCATTGAATCTGCTTGCATAACGCGTACTTTCTTTGAGCACAGTATACTAATTCATAGATTAATGTATGACTTCAGTTATTGAAAAGAACATATATATATATGTAAGAGCAAGCCTATCCTCTCATTGTATTACTTTCACAGTAGTTTAATCCAAACTAATCAACATAAATTACAACGCCAATAAAGGACAAAAAAATCGACACATTGAATTTAACATTTACAACAATTCCATCAAATTGATAACCATAAAAACACTTCAACTCCATGCTCAAATAGCCTTATTGCTTTAACAGAGTTACCAACACAGTAACAAGGATATCGTTAAATACCTCTAATAGTTAATAGATATCCTTCGTATATCGATCTCACTAACATCCCTCTCGGATAAATAACAAAGATACAATGTTAACATTGCTATCAAATTATTAATACTCTATACAAGAGAGTATACTGTAATATTTCATAATAGGAAGTCGGGGACTAACTTTCTGTCTAAATACGTATCTTGTAGGCAATTTCACACTTCGAAAAAAATTGAAAGCTAATAATACGCCCAAAAGTGCCAGATTTAAAGCAACCCAGCAACAAATTTAAAGTTGCAGATATTGATACTCTAGTCATTATCTTCAAATGCAGGAAGTAGCACACTAGCATTGGCAGTAACTCCTTCATAAGTCATTTAAAAGTAACGATAAAATATAAAAATAATTACTTAAAAACTATTCAACTTGAAAAATAAACCAGTACAAGAATTGCTCGTTATTATACACTGTAGGAAATGACGAGTGCTAAATATGAAGATTGAACAAATACAGTACATCGCGATGACAAGTAAAACAGTCGATTTTCTTATCTTATAAGACTATATCAGAATGGCGTTGATACTGCCAAAAAAATCATCGTAAGACGTCCATAAGATGATTATATCATACGCCTTGTCCATCGTGAGCTATCCGAAAACATTTTTGTAAATAAAAATAGACTTTCTAACTAATTCACTACATGAATTAGATTGATTATAAACGCTTAGTACCTAATCGATGATATACTTACCAATGGTTAGAATAAAAAATATAATCGAACATTATTATCGCTTGTTTTACATAAAAAATATCCATTGGACATTTACTATTATGCACAATTTATAAGAAATTAATTGCTTTTGTTGGGTGCAACATTTTTCAATCTCATATACTCCAATATTTGCCTCGGAACCTCTGCTAAAACTTCACGTGCTAAATTTATGGCACTCGAGTGTGTGATTTGTCCATCCTCCAAAAATTTTTGAAATTCGACAAACTAACAGATAACAATGAAATAGCACAAAAGTCACATTTACGTCTAAAACAATTTTTTTATACAAATATGAAATCAGCCAAGGTCAAATAAGCAATTATGTAAGAATAAGTTTAATGTATCTATCGAAGTACAACCGGTCAATGTTGCCGTACCTGAACAATATCGCGTTCTGCAGTGTTACCTTCGAATGATAGCAATTGTTCATCCGAATCCAATTCATCCATTTCTATGTAATCATAAATTACATGACGACTGTTTAATACATTATGCTAATTTGTTTACAATATATTCATAGAATTTTTGATTAATATTGCATGCTTGCATAAGTTAAAACACATACCATCAAAGTCTGTATCGCCAACACCAACAATGATGATCGACATTGGTAATCCAGAAGCCTGAAGATTCATACATAGTTTAAAACATTGTCTTCCAGTTTAATTAATACATTAATTCAGCAATTACGTAAACCAGAAACTATAATTACTAGGGATATATAGCAATCAAATACAATTTGATAAATGAAGGGCTACGTGTAAATTTGTATTTACTTTGATCACGGCAAGTTTAGTTTCATCCATATCCGAAATAATACCATCAGTTACCATTAGCAAGATTTGATAACTAAAACATAAACTACCGTTTAGTAATATCATTACGAAACAAATTTACTTACAATTTATGTCATGTTCTTAATGTATTGTATAAATGTAAATTTCACATACGAACTGCCAGGATTTTCATCAGCTTGTTGGGCTTGCCTAAAACATCGGAAAAGTAAAAGTTTCGCTCAATCACCGCTTTAGAATTATGCTTAATCTATGCAATGTTTACATCACTAATGTATTGCTCTCACTTACTTTGATACATGGGAAATAATCGGAGCAAAGTTGGTAGGTCCTGCAATAAAAAATTATCAGTTGATTGATATGCGAGTACTTATAGCGAAAACTGAAAGTTACCACTTTTAAAGATCTTAACATTACCATAAAGTTGGACATTAGAAAGAGATTGCTTATAGGCTTCTAAAACGCCTTCTATTCCATCGCAGTTTGGATCATCGCTACTTCCATTCTTGAGATCATAAAGTATTTTAAAAAGATTTATAAAAATTTATTCACCTATTTATTCTCAAGCAGTTGACGACTTGACGTAGATTACACTTTGCACTCGTATTTTACTTTTATGCTCTTTATCAGGCGCAACAGTAATAACATATTATTACTAAATCTGAACCAATAGTACCAGATAATTATTATACACCATTCGGGTGCCTAGAATTAAGGCTGAAAAATTCTGTACGTTTGCAATCCCTAGCTCGTACATTGCTACGGAGATTTAAAACTGATATTATCCTATAGCTACTGATATTAGATAACTAGTTATTTAGTTTAGCTGCATACCAAAAAAAAATCGTGAGAGATTACACCACTGGATAATTTGGCACCGAATCCAAGGGCAGGAAACATCTTGTCGCTATCATAGATGTAAAGTGCTAGTTAATTTAAATATGAATACCGCAAGTATACATCATCTTTTAACTCTACAATAAAGCAGTCGATGATATTAACGCACGTATCATAATCTTGACAAATTGCACCAACGGCCACAATAGCTCGCTGATACACATTGAGATCATCAGGATCATTGTAATGGAGCGAGGATGGATGTCTAGGATTTCCTAATAATAAGTAGAGATGGTTATAAAACTAATTCACTTAAATAGTGATGGTACGTTAATTTTAGAACAAAAGTAGAACAAATAACTTTATTAAGTTAATTTCTTCGTTACCGTTTGAGGCGGTAAAGTCAACGCCGACAGTGCAATTGATTTGAGTGCTTAATGTTAAGAGAAAATGTTTTAAGTTAGAGCTGTAACTTCCTAATACGGGTACATCAATATTCTTACAATAAGAGCAGAGAAATAAATCTTCGATGACGAATAGCGATATACGTTGCAGTATGTGTAACATAAGCTCTGTAAGAACATATTTTACTTATCAACGTACCCGTTCTTGATATAGTCCACAAAAATTGGTTGAGGTTCAATTTCACATTGAACTACATGCAACTAGACACGAAATAAATATAACAATATCCATAGTGATAAAATGAGGGCATTAATTTCTAAATTTTTGACCTCAAGTTAGTAATACTTTAGCGTTGTCGTAAATAATTTTACTAGCTTTATGAAATCTTGATATTATTATTTGAATGTACTTACTTCTCCGGAGTTTTTATATTTTTTCTTCTTGTTTTTTTTTTTTTCATTTATTAACTACAGAATAAAAATTTTACAGTTAACGATACCATATAGCAGTGTTTTAGAATAAAGATGTTCTTTTGTAGCTGTGCTATTACTTGTAAAGTGGTCGTTGATGCTGATGCACGTTTAAGTTCATCCACTGAAACCATACATTCTCCAATGTAGTCCGGGCTACAAAATTATAAGAATAAAAATCATAATTAAAAGATCAATAGTAACATCATAAAAATAAATACCACATATTCGTATGTAGACTTTAGGTTAAGTTTGTTGATATCATGACATACTTTCCATCTCGATTCCAATCATAGCAACTGATTTTTATCGGTCTGAAAGATAATTACATAGTCGTTATGATACTTTCAAATTTGTAGATATCATAATTACTGCCTATACTCATACATTTCGAATGTCCGATAAACGTTACTAAACGATCAGCAATCGTTAGTCGCATAATCTCTATTATATTTATTATAAAGATTCTACCTGGAATAATCACCCTCGCATAAGTCATAAGCCGAAATGATAAATGCGTCCCATTTTGGATTTAATGTATTTTTAATGACTTCCGTTTGATAGGCACACACATACCTATGATAGAACATAATAGTGCCACGTGTCATTGCAGATACTTAAAGCAGCTATAGATTAAATCTGATCATTTGCTAATTAATAAGCTTAACATTATGCGATCTCCATGGCTATAGTTTACAACATGGGAAACTGTATCCAAGGTACAGGTGCAGATCGATTTTTATATTTTTTAACTTACTCGTCATTCTCATCCTTGCGCATTATTTCCAAATAAGGATCAGATTTGCCAAGGAAGTCTTTTTTATCCAAGTCTGTTCCATTTATTTGCAATGTTATGAGATCCTATTTCAGGTAAAAGTTATGTAAATGCACTAGGCCTACTAGCATTATAGTAGATGTTACTATTGTTTACAGTCGATCGCTATATTAGCTGAGTTTTAGTAACGCTTGAAATATCCTAAAGTTCAAGACATAATTTACATGTAGTAACAAATCATCATTAACATTTATTGTCATGCAACTTACGCTGACAGTGCTGTTGTTTTCTGTATCAACTAAAGGATCATCAGAACGTATAATTAGAAGACAGTTGTTGAATTAAATATATATATTGAAAAGAGATGGGATTAAATTTAAAGTTTACGATAAAATGAATCGATACATGGTCGATAAATGCTTGTGGCAGCATGCAACGACCATAGTTGACAAACTCGCAAGTTCTTAAAAATACCGTTTTTAAAATAGAAAATATTGCATAGTATACTGAAAAAGAATTATACAATATATATAAATACACTTAATCAAAAAAAATAGATCACTTACTAATAATTTCAGCTTTGCTACTTTCCGATCTAAAGGTGTGGTAATAGTAATAAAGGAAAAGTTAGAATAATAACATATGCATTCTAATAATATTTACGAGAACATTTGAGTTTCAATGTAAATATGTATAGGCTTAATTTGTATAGAAATATTTTGACAATTTACCCAAGCCTTGCAGCTAAATTTCCTTTATTACTGAGTAATATACCAAGTGTACATTCTACGTCACCTAGCAAAAACTGAAAGCCATAGTATTAATAATTGCTAGGTAGTGTATGGCTCATATCAGTGATGGCGTTGAAACCAATTGCTAAAATTTATTAGGGATTAATGAAGGAAATTAGAGTACGTATTGCATTCTTACCTCTTCCGAGATTTCTCCAGAAGCATCTACAGCGAATCTATGTAGAAAGTTTAGTTAAAACGTTGTTACTTAAATGCAGAATTGATGTATGTTGTATACTTTTAATGCTGCTTATTCCTGATTGCTTTATAGCCCTTAAAAGCTAATTTAACGATGATTTTCTTATATGAATACTGCCATTTTGCTTACGGCAATATTGATATTCAATTAATTATTCAGATTTTTATATAGATTAAACTTATGTTGGCATATTTGCCAGGGCAATAAGTATTAATGAAACCTATTTTAGTGAGAGCCTAACTAGTTATAAAATTATACCTCAAAGCTAATACTATCGAGAAAACTTTACCGCATTTTCTAGATTTATTAAGTAGAGCCTCTATCAAAATCTAATTTGCTACTAGATCAACGTAATTCATTTAGCACAGCTTTATACTGCTTAATACCAGATTGCTACGACGATATTGATAGTTTAATATACTTAGATTACATCGGCTCAGCCATTACACTAGATTATATTATTAAAAGGTACAACCAATATATATGGCTGGATACTTACACTTCAAACTTCAGTCGCTGATACTGTTCAAAGTAATAAGCCATGGGAAAATTTTGAGCAAAACGTGGATTTAAATTATCTAAAACGACTTCAGTCCTACCATACTACATGAATCGGTGTTGATTATACCCATAGAAGTGAAATTGAAGAATAATAAAATAAAATTTATCATTTGTGGTTCATCAAAGTATTGCAATAGTAATCATGATTACTGGCTATAAATTGAGAAATAATGCTTCAGATATTGCATATCAAAAGATAGCACTATACAATAGTTAAACTACCAGCTAAATGATCGGAAATGTAATTAAGATTTCAATTATACAAGCAAAGGAACATGCACTCATGAGATCGCTGCTGTTTTTCGGTGTATTAATGAACCATATTCTAGATCCATACAGAAACAGATACATGTAAAATGGAAGACGAAAGTATTCGATTGTAGTAAAATCATCGTGAGAAAATGGATATTCGGTCTACTTTTACTATGCTTACTAAATTATTTTCTTATATATCTATCGATGGTCTAATTACACCGGTAGGTACAGTATAAATGCAAGTATTCCAACTGCAGTAAAATGCTAGTAATCTACTTATCATCTTTTCTTAAACAAGAAAGAGTAGATCCAAGAAACGAATTACTGTATTCACAAATTACCAGAACTGATGTCAAAATTGATTCAAAGAGCTAACTCTAGTATAAGCAATATACGAGTACTGTAGGCAAATTCGCAATATCAGTAGAGTAATAAACGCGATTTTAGCTATTTAGTCGATTAAAATGTCCAATGCTTGCACAATTTAGCATGTAAGTACAATTTAGACTAACGATTAGATCTATTTCAAGGTTCAAAGACTCTACAACATTTATATAGAAGGTTTAGGGCCAAAATGGACGTTGTCTTACTCTAAAGTTACCACGACTCCAACCATATAAAGTAAAGTAAATAATCACGTTCATTGCTCACAAGTAGACCGAAAAAATTATACTATCTTCCGTAGAAATTACCACTACTCTATCCCATGGAATTTATCACTAAGATAGTGGTCAATAATTAAGTACTGTAAAGTAGGCAAAGAGGCCATTAATTAACCGTATCTTATTTCAAAATATTGTGGCTACTACATTCCATCACTTAGAGTTGATGATTATAGTTGAAATTATTAATAAATACAATAGATTGTAGAAGACATTTTATCGACTCGATCGAAGCAAAAATGCCACCACTTTATGATATGGAATTCATCACTACAAAGACTAAAAAGCTGGTGAAAACCGACTCATAGTAATAATCAATTCTTGAGCGAATTCATTCAAAATTCCGCTAAAAAATATCAACATTGATGATGCTTATAGCTCAATGAGTGCCTTTTTACAGAGGTCTAATGTTGGAATAGCTCATCTTTCTTAAACTATCTATCGACCTCGAGAATTTTAAATATTATTGGCGAGAATCACTTTCTCTACACTATTTGATCCATTCTAATTATGCAGTAAGACATTAGTTTGATGATAAACAATATTGCATTGTCAATAATTTATTATTGTAATGCTCTATTGTAACTTAATAGCCGCCATTATAGGCATGAAATAGAGCTGTAGAAGTAAACTAACACTGAGCAACGCCTACATGGCTAGCAGCGTTGGCTCGTTGGCGTAGGCAAAGATGGAAGTAAGCGTTAATTAGGTCAACGGTTCTCAACGTGGACATCATTGATACAAGGTGAAAATGAAATAGAGATTAATAACTATCATTAACAATATACAAACATTGAAACTAAACAACATCATCTTACCTCAATATATTCGCCATCTTCGTCCCAAAAGTTGACCACTGCCACTGTATGATGGGTACAATAAAAAATTTTAAAATGTCATCATAATAAGCAACTAATTAGCAAAAGGAGAATTGGTTTTCAATTTAGCTCATAATTTATTCATGATGCTAAACGATGATCAAATCATCATCGTTAGCATGCTAATCTGGACATTAAAGGGCGACATTTAATCGATGAAATATCTACAAAATGAAGGATTCACGTTACAATCCAATCTTAAACTACTTTTCAGTCGCTGTTGATTGAATTGATTTCATTCTTCAGCTTTAAAATGATCAATCCATTAGCAACATGTTGCACATGCGATTAGAATTAATGATTTGAGAACGATCATCAATGAAACTTTGATTGCCAGAAGTCTTTTTTTTTTTTTAATTAGTAATGTCATCATTGTATATTGTCTTAAGCCATGTAGGTAAACTTGTTTTGCTGTCTGTACAACATGGAGCTAATACAGTTCTCAACAAGCTTTGTGCGGGCTGTAAGCAAGCGTTCAGCCATGACGGAAAAGTTTCTTCCGCATGGCAATGGATACAGTCATCCATCTACAAATACGACCCCAGCTGGCAACAATGCCGGCAAACTTGATTTAAAATTTCTATGTCATGATAATCATCCACAGTACTGTAGATTGGACACTCTTGGACACTGTTGATCGTTGTTGGTGAAATAGATCAGATTAAGTTAAAGAAAAAGTGATGATTTGTCAGTAAATACGCGTACAAATAAATTAGCTTGCCCATGTCCTGTACTATAATGAATATCTGCGCTAGATTAGGAATCAAATCGGATAAATATTTTGAGCTGATTGATTTCAATATCGTGTCGCTGATCAATGGTGATGAAATGGATTAGATGAGAATATGGAGGTAAAAAAATGATGATAATTGACCTACTAATATAAATACAAGCGTATATCGATGGATAATAAATAGGATAAACGCGTTAACGAAATTATGATTATTATCGATGATAGATTACATTCGTAATGAATCGGATAAGCATTTCGATTAATTAATTTGAGCATCATGTCGCAGATGGTGATAAAATATATCAAATGAGAACAATCATCTACATAAAAAATGATTTGCCAGCGAACATAAACCCAATAGCGATGATACTCGTATAGGCATTAGGGCAGTTTGCAAAATGACCGATTTCGCATACGGTCACGTTCATATCGATAACCAATTTCGTTGAATGTGCCTACTACGATTATCATCTGCCATAGATTCCAAAATGATCCATTGGATAAGTATTTGATATGGCCGTATGAAATCAATTGGAGCATCATGTCACTGATCGATGATGATGAAATGGGCTAGATAGGATCATAAAGCTAAAAAAAGAAATGATCTCCAAACTAAGTCAATACAAACTGATTGTACGTGATAGATTAGATCAGTGATCCATCGGATAAGCACTTTGCAATGATTTTAGCATCATGTCGCTTTATTAAGTTAATACTGACGAAATGAATCCGATGAGACTATTGATCTCGTCGAAACGACTGACGATGTGCCGTTAAGGTTAAGTGCAAATAAAAACTCGTATCCATGCACACAACGAGAAATTTCTGCTGGTAAATTGAACGCGTCCATTCCCATGATGTGATCATCGGTGATCGATCAGACGAACTTTTTTGTAACAATTTTAATACTGAGTTAAAAAAAAAATACCGGTATGCAACAAATAAAAGGAAATAAAATAAGTTCATATGCTACAATTTATGATGACGATCGATCAAAAGAGCATTGATCATTTCTTATTCATCTTAGCATCATCTAGTATCGCTATAGTAATGAAATGAATCAGATGATGGCGTTCATTGACAACAAGAATGATGTCTAGTCAGTAAATTATAACACAATATCGTGGACGAGTTCATTAAATAATGATCCTCTACGATAGGTTGGATTTATAGTAGACAAAATAGGGACTTTCTGCATTGCTTTAGCACTGTAGGGTTCATCGATGCTGGCAATATTGAATAGAATATAGAAGTAAATGATGATTTGTTAGTAAGTAACAAATTATGTTGTATCCGTCCTCATAACTAATACGATCATCAAGGATCGATTGGATAGGCGTTTTGATTCATTTTAGCATCATGTTACTCATTAAGGCTGGCGAATTATTTAGGTAAGATGAAAGCAAGAATGGAAAGCAGATCGTAAAATTGGCCATGGAAACATAAATCCATGAATATCAATCAACAAATTCGGCTAATCCTCTTGACGATCGATAGCCTACTTGGTCATTTCATTTACTTTCACCCTACTCCATTCTAAACTTACGCATGCCAGGCTTGGATTTCAGATCATCTTGTGGTACATTTCTGACCCATCACATAGAAGAATTAAAAATTGGCTCATGTTAGCAAGACGTAAGTAATAGGAAAAATGGCCAAGATGAATTTCAAGCCATTTTAATAATTCAGTTTATTATTTTGGGGTGCACAGTTTCTGAATTAATTGCTCTTCTACGCGTATCTTCCATCTGCAAGGTACTCAAAAAATAGGCGATTCTATCATTACCTGCATGAAATACGGATAGTAACTTCTGCAGTGATAGAAGAAGCTTCTCCAGCCATCGTTGAACTTGTTCAATGTGTAGTAATCGAGAGTAGAGAGCAAAAGGATAGAAGTTGTTGTTAATCAAGGTGGAAAGGAAACCTGCGGAAGTGTTAAAGTGATGATTTTTAGTTGAATTCGTTGTAGCAATTTCTTATACTGTTGATACTTGACTGACTCAGATAGGAGTGCATGCGGTATGAATTTACTATGCGATTCAAAATAGCGTCGTACGAGAGGACAGACAGAAAAATGGCTCGACGGAACAAGCGCTATATACTGTATCATAACCTACTACAATATCAATATTGTAACCATTACAAGTGTCCTTATTCGATCAATCTGTATAGACAGAGCGGCTGGCATGAAAGCCTTTGCCTTTTGGCGTGAATAACTTGATCACGCAAGCGCAGTCCTTTCATGGTAACGCCTACAAGAAATCAAAAAATAGAATAAACGAATTATCATCAGTTTAAAATTCTTCCTTCTAAACGCTAAAACGTCCTGGATTCCCATCGCTGCTTGCTATTGTGTCGTGGAAAAATACTCTAATTGCTACAGAGATAGTAACTGATAATGGACAAGTCGATCAGGATATTAGTCCTGTACTACTGTCGGCAATGGGTCGGTAGGTTAACGTAGAATGCCTCTTCATTTTATACCCAAATTTCAACCTTCAATTTGTATTCAACAATTGTGTAGATTGAATTTTTTATTGATGAGAAGGAATCACCTGATTACACAAATTTAGAATATGCCCAGTTGCCCACGGTCAAATGTAATAGTTTTAGAGTAGAACAAATTGTAGCAATTAGAGATGACATCATTATGTTTTAAGCAAATGGTCAAGTCGTTATGCAATATTGTACCATGCTTCTACTACCCAAAACAACGGATAACCACTCCGATCGTAACGGTCGCAAAGTACTGTACTGACAATTACTTCTGGTGTACCTATTGTTAGCCATTCCAGCACTTTATGCGTAAAACACAAGAAAGCAACCATTAGAATGGTTTGTTTTGCCCGTATACAATATAATCCAGCCCGCCCTAGATGCTAGCACTACCCAATTGTATTCGTTATTGTTCTCAATCGAGTCAGTATAGCATAAATATGAGACACGATTTATGTCCATATTGGTTTATTTTGTGGGGTTAAAGTGGTTAAACCCCCTAATAGAATAGTATTGCCATTCTAGCATCATCAACAGGTGGATTGCAAGATTTTCTGCCTCGCGAAACACTACCGAAATCCTATAATAAACCATCAAGGTTAAGGGATGCTTATTTTATAGTCGCAATCTGAGTCAACAGTGTAGATGGCATCCCATATGGTCTAGTGGTTAGGATTCCTGGCTTTCACCCAGGCGGCCCGGGTTCGATTCCCGGTGTGGGAACCATGAATTTTTTCCCCTTTTGCAGAAAGATCCAGAATCTTCTTCCCTGCGCCATATCATAAACTACAAGAAGAATATCGATATCTTCTCCTGGTCCATGGATATACGCAGCGATATAGAGCATCCATTTGATAGTACACTATAATGGATAATATTCTTTTTGCTAGGCTATTATAGTGGTATGATATTGACTATTTGCTTCATTTCTCTCCAATACATAACAAGTTTGCCATCACCAAAATATCTAATCGCTTTTATCATTCCTATAATTAATAATCATCATCATTGGTGCAGCAATCCTATGGACAGTCTATCCCAGCATGTTCTAGACCATATATGCGTATAGTGCAGTAAGATCAAGAATTTCTACACCAAAAAAATTCTTTCATATCACTAAGTAGTAGAAATTGCGTGTGAAAAGAAACTATTATTAGCGGCATCTTTGTGATGTACCTTACTTGGCTAGTAGAGTTCTAATAGATGTTAATTGTTATTTTTATAGTGCATATTGATATATATAAGCTGATATTGCGAATTATAATCTACAGATTCTCTAAATACTACTCTATTACACACTGCTTCATCATCTCATTTAATACTATCATAGATATAATGTTAAAATCTTCAAGAATCGATGCTAACACATACGAGCTGACAACTTCTAATTGTAAACAGTAAATATAGTACATGTTGATCCAAAATGGAATATTAAGAGTTATCTTATATCGTTATTTAGACAAATAATACACTAGATTTAAATATACAACCATTTCAAATATCATCACATACCATAAGTATCATATACTTAGATAACATTATTGGGTACAATATTGTATTCCTTATTAATTTCTTTAAGCATGCTACTTTTATACAGAAGCACTTAAATAGAATCAGCTTACACATCATCAGCATGGTGTATTTGCACTATGACACAGAACAACTATCTACCGTATACAATCAAGACAAGGGGTTAACTATCCTACCTAGCATAGCAATTATAGACCTGAGCAAATGCTACGACACATCTCCATAAGCATAGTGCCTACATTGTAATAATAAACTTAGTGATAAATTAAGCATCAGCTGTTAACGCATTTTTGTTCACTATTACATAGTTATGATTGCAAAATTCCAGTTTTAAAACCACTTAAAACCGAATAATGATACTCCTATGAAGGCGAAAGTAATATCTAGTATTATCCCTATAAATTTTTAACGATATAAGGTAAGAGATAGAATTTTGGGGATAAATTCGTAATATTACGAGTAAATAGCTAGGAAATAGATAAGTCTTTGGTATTTAATATTGCGCATTAATAATTATAATCAGAAATAATATGAAAATATCAAGCATAAATTATATTATAATGCATTAGTCATTACTTTTACTCTATTATTCGAAAGTACTTTAATGGCATTAAGATTTATCGATATTATTACGCATATTTTATTACACAGCAAGTTGGTCAATTTATTGCTAAAATGTTCCACCAAGATTGCACAAATTTTTATACATCAATTACAACGTTGATAGGAAACAAATACGTTATTCTACATATATAAAATAAAGGCTGATGGATATAATTTTATGCTAATAGTATTCCTATCATTTTCTGTACGGGCAGAAACAAACTATATTCATGCTACCAGATTTCAACTTACACCAGTACGAGGTGGTTACAGTGTTAATTATTAAATAACAGTGCTACTTTTTATAGAGTGGAGCTGAGGATTTGACTTGATTAGCAGTATCAGGTAGAGACGCTAAGAATTGATAGGATGGCGGAGAAGGATTGGGCTTGATCCTATTCATTGCCATATAGGACAAAATTTGATCTGGAATTTCAGCCAAGACTTCACGAGCTAATTTAACAGCACTCAATTGAGTTAATGTACCATTCACCAGAAAGTCAGAAAATGGCACAAACTACACAAAGTGAAAAATAGATGAAACTCATTTTATAGCAGTATAGAATAATGAATAAAATCATCAACTTAATCGTTAAATATAAATATAATTGCCTGCACAATATCTCGAACTGCTTCTCTTCCTCCGGAAGATAAACGAGTTTCATCTCCATCTAATACCTCCATACCTAAAGAGAATGTTCATTAAAGTATACCCTTTCAATCTTGATGTATACATCACATATGTACGAATATGAAAAGATAGGAACCTGTAAAGTCAGCATTGCCAACGCCAACTATAATGATAGATAGGGGCAGATGGGAAGCCTAGGATATTATATCAAATCGAAACGATAATCTTCATTTGACCGCAGATAGCTGTCAATGTAGAATCTAAACAGTGAATCTGTGAAATGCGAAATCGATGTCATGCTTACATACCTCTACAATAACTCTCTTAGTTGCGGCCAAATCCGAAATACGGCCATCAGTTAACATTAATAAAATAGAATAGCTAAAATAACAAATTAACAGAAAAATATGATGAATTATCCCCACTAGCCTATAAATTATTATATTGCTAGCATATTTTAATACTTGATTAAATATTTAAAAAAATTTTTAATATCCTACCTCTTACCAGGCATTGCGTGACTCTCTGCAGCACATCTAGGAAGATATAGTCAAAATAAAGCATTTATAGGATATCTTCTTATTCAGCTGCACTACTTCAAGTTATGGAATAATATAAAATCATACAAACCGAGCTACACGTTTTATTATTGGTGCAAAATTAGTCGGCCCTGTAATAAATAAATATGATAACATTGCATTAATGTATTTCGTCGATAATGATGGAATAAAATCAGCAAAGTAGACAATCAAAGTTATTCCTTTCTGACCATAAAGTTGTACAGTATTTAAACTGTGTGAATAAGCTTGTACAACACTATCCATCGTGACACATTCAGGATTATTAGGATCACCATTCTAATATTGTATTTGATTAAGATGTCAAATTCAAGTTTGAAAAACTATTGCCAAAATGCTTAAATTAAGATGAAAGTATTATCATAAAAATGAATGCGGTACCAGGTGAAATTCATGGGAAATTTCTCCCGATGGGAGTTTACCACCAAACCCATATGCAGGAAATCTCTTATCACTATTAGTAAGAAATATTATCGTTATTGCACTGGCGTATAATATTTATGGAGTAAGACATTACTAATCATAAGAGTATGTTCAGAGAATTTTGATTCCAGTCATAAAGAAATAGCATAATACTACCACATCTCTTTAAGCTGTTAATAAATTAATCATTTAAGGGTATGCAGAGAATCATTTATTACTATCACAGAGAGATAAATAAAATGGAATCGAAATAGTATCTTGCAAGCTATTGATCTGTTAATCGTAGAGAAAGTAGAATGCTATATGTTTCAGACCATTAATCTTAAGAGTATATATTAGCAATCTTCCGTTGTGGTCTAAAAGAAGTAATTTGATACAGAAAAAGCTGATATCTATCAAGCTATTCATTTTCTTATTACAAGAAGTAATTTAATAATATTGTAGAATATCGTATTGCCCAAACTATTAATTTATCTATATATACAGTACGAAATTATTCATCACAATCACTGAAGAATAGATTAACGTCTATGTAGAATATTAGGTCTTCCAGGCTACTAATCTATTTATATTTCATGAGATTATGTGCTGTAAATCTTTCATCTCTATCAAGAAACAATTCACTTAGTCGTTAAAGTAGAATAGATATCTTTAGGCTATTTAGCTATTAATCACAAGGGTTTGCGTAGAAAATTGCTCATCACTGTCAGAAAAAGGTAGGGAGAATATTAAAGTAGAATACCATCTCTTAGCAGTCTATTTGTAAGTCATACCTATCATACTCTTGACAAACTTTACCAACAGCTATTAATGCTTTCAAGTATTGATTTTGTTGTCTGGGAGAGTTATAATGAAGACTATCAGGTTTGCTAGGATCTCCTATGAAGCCCGCGATAAATAAATAACATTCAAACTTAATCTGTTCATAAATTTGTAGATAAGCCATCACTGCTTAAAACGATATTTTACTAACCATTTGAAGCAGTAAAATCAATTCCGATATTAAATTCAATTTGTAACCTGAGCATAGTAATAATCACGCAAGAATGCTACATCAATGAGAAATCCATGCTGAAACTAACATATCTATTATCATTTATCAGTGATAGGAATAAAATTCGGTAATATCTCTAGAATATTAATCTGCAATTTGAGTAAGCAAATAGATCAACCTACAAAGAAAGCATAGTCTAAAAATTTTAAATAAAATGTAAGATTCAAATAGATAGTAAATCATCTAACTGTAAATTAGTACACTAATAGTACAACCTAAATAATAGATTCTATATTTTGGATAATTGATTTAATAAGATATATCAAGTAAAATAAATAAAAGTAATTAACGCAAGAACTTTTAGTCTGTTACAGTTAGTTATTTTTGTAGGAATGATAAGGTCTATATTATCGTAGTTTCTATGTTTTATTTATTAAAAAAGTAAAATGATAAAAAATTAAGTTAATTGAATCTACTTGTACATAGGGTATCATAGAATAAAATGAATATAATTTATAACAGTGAAAATCAAATATTGAAAATTAATTCCATGATAATATTAAGTACCCGACTCATTACTTAATGTTACTGAAAAATTTATAAATAGTTAAGCAATATTTATTTACCAAAATCTATAAGTTATGATACATATAGTTTCATTTACCCGCCTCGAATATAATCTATGTATGTTCCCTGCTCGAGAATTTCCATCTTCAACATTACAAGCTGAAGAAAGATATACAAACTGGTCATTAATTAATCATATGACTACTACTATTACCTATAATGAATTTTTTATCTCCTATGTTTTAGTTGCAGTGCTTTCTTACCATGCCTGAATTGGTATATTTCTTTTTCTTTAATTTCTTCTTTGGGTTAATACACTATAAAAAGTTTTATAAATATTAGTAGAGATATGTATACATCGATTTTCAAAATTGTGAGTCGTACTTCGAATGATGCTGGTAGAACTTGATGCCTAACTTCCTGTAGGACGAAATATACTTCGCCAATTAAGTCATGGCTGTGCAAGAGGTATTAGGAGGAGATGCTAAAATTAATTACCAACTTCGATTTGGCAATTTCAATTTAGTCCAGTAACCATATAAATACCAGTAAAATAGCCACTGATCGATCTGTAAATACTGGAGTACAGTAAATACAAGGTACACTTACCCTCCATCTCTATCCCAATCGTAGCATTCAATCTTAACCTCCCTTAAATTTAATCTTTATTAGTATCATCTCTACAGGATAAAATAACTCAATCTGCACTATTCCTAGTATAAAAAAAACCAACTATACCTATAGTAATCACCATTACAAAGTAATCGAGCTGGAATTTTAAATTCTTTCCATTTAGGATTTAGGGTCCTTTTAATAACTTCAGTTTTATGAACGGCAACAAAGCTACGTTTAAGTTTAAAATATTAATACAGTATCATCAATCTTGTAAATTAGCAGGTAAACAAGAATTAGAATCTAAAATATATATTATTCAGTACTATAGTAGCTCAATTTGATGTCAAATTGAGATGGAGAGGAAAATTAGAAATTTACCTGCCATCACTACCTTTTCTATAAAAAACAAGGAATGGATCTGATTTACCAAATAAATCCTTTTTATCCAAGTTTTTACCATGAAAGTGAAATGTAATTATGTCCTACGTAGTTGGAATTAAAAGTATGAGGAAGAGTTACAGACTACATGTTTTTACTATAAATTACAAAATTTACTTACAGTCTCATAAAAGATATTGAAATTGGCTAACGTATAAATTGATACATAATTATATCAGCTTTAAATATTTACAATTCTGCTTGAAAAACTATGTATGATATATATTATCGACAGATAATCATTTCACATATACTACGAAAGAGGCTAAAAATATGTAACATTATTCATGACTACACTGCGAGTCAATAAAATATATGTACAGTAGTTTAAATATACTATAGCATCATTTCATATATACTACAAAAGAGACTAAAAATATGTTAGATTATTCATAAATTGATGTGATGTATTTTTAAGTCAGAGTATTTCAAGTTGTAAATATCTTTCCAGAGTATTGAATGTAATAAATGCAGTTGTAACGACTATGTATTTTGACCAATTAAGCATTTAGCATTTTATAGTCTATCAGAAGCACATTACGAATTTCGTAAGATCAGTTATTTTGGTATATAGGTATGATCGCTGCAACTATTCATATCCAGTTATTCAGTAACAGTACGTGGAATAAAATTAACTTGACAACTTACGTTACAGGGATTGATTTCTTCCGCCGAGACTGCCGTTTAATTCAAACATAAAATTACACCGTCAAGTTATTTGAAAGCTGCTGAAATGATGCACAATTTTATTCCATTTCAAGCAAATAATCGTACAGGGTACACTTACTTGTAATAGTACTATTTTTCTTGGTTTTAATGCCTCTATTACATAAGATGAGAGGGTTATAATGATGCAGCTAAATTACGCTAATATTAAGATCTAATATTTAATAAGCAACAGAGCCAAGATTTTGTAATACTTCATTAAAGACGATATATCAGCATTTATAACTTACGTTAGAGGCTTTTCTAGAATCCCGCCATGGCTCATTATTTCAGCTAAACTACATTCCATTCTACCCAGAAAATCCTAAATTTATTGAGGATTGATCATGTTATTTTACATCTGCATCAAACTACACCAATATGCAGACTTTATACGCCTTCCTCTTTTAACCATATAAAGTTTAAACAACGTAGCTGAGAATGGAATATCTTGACCAGAAATACAAGTGAATAAAGTAATAGCCTGACCTAGTGTAGTTATCTTTACAGCGAAATTCACCGATGCAACATTCATTTTGTAAAAAAAATAAAATTGCTATCTATAACTTACATGCTTGTCTAAATTGCTAGAATTTCCATCAATATCGTAACTGTTCATTAAGTAGAAGAAAAGTTAACATTACAGGTCAATTTTGTGTTTATCTTGAGCATCCATGAAGGAAATAATTTTAAATCAACTCTAATATCTGCCATCGTTTAATATTACTTCTACGAGTACTTCTTCACAGTAGCAAGAAAAAAATGATTTATTCATAACTAACAAACTCACACATGAAAACGAATCATTTGAAGTTCTTCAAAGAAGTAAGTCATGGTGAATGATTTGATAAATTTAGGGTTTAAGTTATCCTTGATGCATTCTGTTCGACCAAACTGAATTATTGATAAAGGTGTAAAAATGATTACATTCCAAATTTTAGACGATACTCTCTTTTTGCTAAGATTGAATTTTGTGCAATGTAGTTAATGTGATCCCCCCCCCCCCATTTTAGTTTTAGTTGTCTTTACCTCCTTGTAATATCCATTTTCATCTTGCTGGTAAACTACAACCACTGTAGATCAAGATGAGATAGATTAGTACACGTCTCCTATTGACAAGAACTAATGAACGCTATCCACTATCAAGACTCGTCTATCATCCTATTGATTTCATTAATACTGGCGGTAGAAACTCAAACTACGCTGAATTTATCCGAGCAAATACTTCTAATTATGTAAAGTAATAATGTAAATGTATACTGTAGAGTGCAAGAAACAAGAACTATCCATAAACATCATACTTGGATCGGACTTGGATAAAAGATCTTTATTCACCAATTTTCTATCATTCAACAGTACCATCAATAAAAGTGTCAGTATCGATCATCATCAATCTCTTTAGGCTACTAGTTATTAGCAAAGAATGGACTGGTGTTGATTAAATGATTGCCTATCATCTCCACTACGGTAGCATGGTGGTCATGCACAATCTCACTATCGAAAGAAATCCTATGCTATCGAATGGATAACACTTAAGAAATATATGAATCAATGACTTCATTACCTGCATGATATATGAAGGCTTACTTGTGAAGCAGGCACCGATGAATCAACTGTTTCTCTAGGCGACGCCATTTGCCACTAGAAAAAAAAGTTGGATAATACAAAGTGAGGAATGCACATAGCTACAAGCTTGCAGACATTCCTTGCATCATGACTCTTGTATTTACTACATTAACCTTCATTGCAGAACAAACTACACGCATCAATAATTTATAATTATAATCGACTGCAGTCTATTTTTATATAATAACACTTTTGGAATTCTCTCAAGATAATCGAATAGTATTATCTATGTACAGAATGGAATCGATCATCATCAAACTGTAACCTGGATTTCAGCACTTGATTTTTCCTTCTGTTGTGAAATTGAGAACAAAAACCAATTTGGACTGTAGTTGTTGACTAGAGTTATTCAATGCTATAATAGCACATAAGCGTGATAAAAAACTTTGCAAATGTTGTAAGAAGAACTAGAATTGCACGCACAACTTCAATTGAATAAGTAAAATGAGTTTGTCAAACTATGCTAACTTTCCTTCCTCTAGCGTCGCTTTTCACACAGTTTCAGTAGTGATAGAATTGGTTGACAATCGCCGATGTAGAAGGCTACAATATGGATAGTCAATATCCTCTAGAAATACTGTATAGTAGTTACTTGATTTGCATCGTCTTACAGTGAATAGCGGACCATGAGCCATTTTCGACTTTTCTTACTATACAATCTCGACCTCCCCTAGTCATTTTAACCTTAACCTTTATTTATTTAGCTACTACGCTACAATGTAACGTGTGAAAGTAGAATGTAAACACTTGTTCACTCCCTTTTTGCTGTTTCTTTGCTTAAACAAGATACGGAGAGATTGAAAATTTTTCTTTTCCTTCTAAATTAGGTCTAGGGGCGTCCATCAACTAAAGGCATCATCAAGTTTTCTAAATGCCAAGATGGATTGGATTGACTGCCTTACATGGGCTTGAGTGAATTAAATCAAACCCTAGTTAACCTTTGGCTACAATGATTCAAGCATGGAATAGAATAGTTCATGACCTCTTAGAGATGGAATAATCTCTGGGGAGGTGAGATCACACAAAGAGAATGCAATGTCGACAAGCTATAAAATGTGAATGAAGAAAGAGCAATCAGCAATTTCAATACGCTGCAAGTGATAATAAGTTGTGATTACCAATCTTTCTAAAAAAACAACCAAAAAATAGAAAGAAATGGATGGCAGATCGGCCATACTTTCTATTTAGCTTTACATAGATCGAATTTGAATTTTGGTAATGATAAATATTGTACGCATGCAACAACTATTAGTTCAAAAGCTGGGTGATTTACAAGCATCACCCTGTAAGTGATTCTTTATTTTTTCCACCATGTTTTGGCTTCCTTTAGCCGTAATGCATGGCGTCATTTGTTACCGTTTGCATCAGTCTTATCAGTGGACGGAAGACTCAATTTCACTGTAGTTTCTTATAAAAAAATGTTGTAAAATCGCCATTTTACAACATATAACGGTACACGCTTTAAATCAATTTTTCTTATGTTAGGTCCTTTATTCATATGAATTATTGCAATAGTAATATTGACTGAACCTTCATCTACCAGCACATAGAATATTAAGTCATTTTAACTGCAATGAAGGAAGTCGATTTTTGACATCGAAATTCTAAAACGAAGTTAAACATGCTGTACGAGCTCGTACTGTATCAGGAAAAGGGTTTCCTATCTTCAGTTGTGTCACAACTGCATAACTACAATCCTTTTCTCTATTTTGCCGTGCAGTTCGCTATTGCTCAATCTAAAATTGCTATCAAATACCAAACTTTGCGTCATTAAAAGTGGTATTCCTGGCGATGATCGTTTTCTACTATAATAAGATTAGTTTCATCGATATGTTGCTGAACAAGTGCACCAGCTATCTAACGTATTTTTTTGTTACTGAATGCGCGCGGCGTATAGATAAAGTAAAGCATTAATCATAACATGGAGACATCAAGCTTGTCTATGTTTTTCATACTCAGTACCAAAAACTTTATTTTCAAAGCTATCCTAGAGGCAACATTCCAAAAATATGATATTGTTGAACGCATATTGCATGTATCGATATAGTCAATTTATAAATTCATAAACATTATAATCTAATATTATCAGTAGGGCTATAAATGTATTAAATTATAACTGCCAATAGATTACTTGCAGTTAAATAATGATATAGAAAATTCATCCATTTTCACGTAGTTACACAGCACTATAGAATTTCAATGATATTTACAGCTAATAAACTGTTGGTACTAAGAGCGAAAATATCGCCTATATAAGGTATTTTTCATATAACATTTTCAATGAAATACGGACAAGTTGACAACGAGAGATTGATAAGACGCATTTAATATGCAGGCAGGATATGTAATTTTAAACACAGCTGAACCAGTTCCTTACAGATCATGATTGATAGGCTTAGCTGAAGTAATGGGCTATTAATAACATTATAATATTCATGGGACGTAAGTAAAAGTAGTGCAATAGACGAAAGGTATAAAAATGAAATCTTTTCACAAAGGCATAACACGCTGTGTTTCCATGCTTAGTTGTTAATGTTGGCACTGCATTGAAACAGTATAGCCGTAATACCGAAATATACTTATCTTAGAAATCATTACCTTACCTTATCGCAACACATTAGGGGTGTAGTACAACAGGTTATTGTATTCTTACATACATAACATAACATAGATCTACAGCTAAATAGTTTGCATGAAAATATATCGTAATCAGGAAACAGGATTAGAATTTTAACTGAGATAGGCCAACAGTAGATAACTACCAACCATTGTGTTATCTCCATTCGCTGCTCGTTTTCAACCAGCTATTTATTGCTGGTATGACTGGTACGATGGGGGAGGATTCGGCTTTACATGATTCATCCTCATATATGATAAAACTTGATCTGGTATCTCAGCCAATACTTCCTTAGCGAGCTGAACAGAACTCAAGGTTGTTACTGCACCATTTACTAAAAACTTTGAAAATGGTACAAACTGCAAGCCAAAATAGATAATAACAGTTAATTCTAGTAAGTAGTATTCTTCCTCTAAGGCGCTTTCTTTCCTCCATACTTCACTGAACAGCGTGGAAAATAACTACTAGACAAAAATCTACCTGAACTATGTCGCGGACTGCAGCTCTTCCTCTAGACAACAGCGGCTCATCATCGGCGTCTAAAACATCCATGGCTAAAACGCAAGGCAATACCAAGTTTGTTAACTGAGCCATAAGTTTAAAGGTAGTTATTTGCTCAGCTCAACGGCAACTCATTGTGCTGAAAGCTAAATTACGTCTATGCACATTTTTCACTCAATACCTGCAAAATCAGCATTTCCGATACCAACAATTATGATCGATAAGGGTAAATAGGAAGCCTAAAATGGATGAATGAAGAATAAAATTGTATATACGTGTACATGTTCTATAATATCTCTAATTTGTTATAGGTTAGCTTACATTAACGATGGCTTCTTTGGTTTGCACCATATCTGATATGACGCCATCAGTTAGCATAAGTAGAACACAATAGCTATAATGTACGATATTAAAATAAACGAGTTACTTCTTCATCATATATTTTCTGAATTCATTTTGAAAGCTCAAAGTAACCCCCAAATTTTAGTAGTATCAACATTATCTATATGTAGATATACTGTAGAAACTCGTACTTACCTACTGCCAGGGTTTTGATGACTAGTAGCTGCAAATCTAAAGAAGACAATCTCCCGATTACTTTGCGGAAAAACAGTTATAATAGATACTTTCAAATCTAGCCTTATCTATACATACCGAGCAACGTGATTAATTATTGGGGCAAAATTGGTAGGCCCTAATGACAATCAGAAGATCCTCTTGTAATTATTTATAGTAATCCAAAAGTTATAATGCGTTAACAAGGTAGTTCACAAATTTTTAACGTGACTCACCATAGAGCTGAACCGAATTTATACTCATTAAGTAAGCGTTTAAAACACCATCAACGGTCGAACAATATGGGTTATCTGGAGTACCATTCTGTTAAGACAAATATAAAGCACGTTAATAATATTAACATGGTCTTAAATTCATAATTGTATTCAATTTTAAAATTACCAAGTAAAATTCGTGTGATACTACTCCATTCGGTAAACGTGCTCCAAATCCAAGAGCTGGAAACATTTTGTCACTATCGATTAAATTTATCTCGTTGAGCAATAGTTACGTATTATCACTTTCAATAAAGCTCATACTAGACGCATTTTAGCATACAGTAAACTCTAAGCTCACGTGTCATATTCCTGACAAACTTCACCAACAGCTTTTAAAGCTTTCATATATAAATTTTCTTGACCAGGAACATTGTAATGAAGTGAATTTGCTCTCCTTGGCTCTCCTGAGTAATTTAACAATACAGTATTAATGATCATATTGCTGAACATGGAGGAAATTTTTACAGCTTACTAATGTTAGTGTTTACTTTATAGAATATTACAAAATCTTGTGACAAACCGTTTGAAGCCGTAAAATCGATGCCAACTGTAAAATTAACTTGCATCCTGTAAAGATTGTTGGATTGATTTTAGTAGCAACATCAAGATACAACAATCTATCTCATCGATCGATAACGCAATACTTTTCTATTCATTATATCAAAGGGATATAATTAATTTATTGGTAATACCCACCCGCCACGAATGAAATCTAAATACGACGGCTGTTCTAAGATCTCTAACTTTGTAATTTGGATCTAGTGGGTGGTAGAGAAAGTATCACAAAGCAGAATTTAGGTTTAAACATGTGTACTCTCCTACTAGTTCTTAATTCAGCCGTGGCGTCTGGATCAATCAGTAAAAAATAATTACTTCGCCGGAATTTTTATACTTTTTCTTCTTTTCTTTCTTCTTAGGGTTGATGCACTAAATAAAATTTTTGTTTACAGACAAATGCGTGTCAGTAGAACTATTTTCAAGTATCTGGTAAACAATGATCGGTTGGATAGTGATCATTTCTTTAACAAGAAATTACACATACCTCGAAAGATACTGGAAAATTCTGATGCCGGTGTTCTTGCAAAACGATATAGCATATACCAATCAGATCATGGCTAACAGAATAGTAATAAAATATGATTTTTTCGTATTATAATCGGTCAAACAGAAAATTAAAAATTTACATAGTTGTGGCTACCTGCCGTCACTATCCCAGTCGTAGCATTCAATTTTGAGAGACCTAATATTATATAAGATCATTACAGCCAAAGTTCTGTTTAAATAATAAACTTATGAAATGTTCTAATATCGAAATTAAAATTTAACATTGAACATCTTGGTGGTTCAAGTATAGCAAATATCTTTTTTCCGAGCCGATTTTAAATAGATGGGCATATTTATGATCGACATGAACCGTTATCAATTTACTTTCGAGCTTTTATACTCTAGTGTGAATACAGTAAAATTTCGGTACCGATTTTAAATAGATGGGGGCATATTTACGATCGACCTGAACCGCTATCAATTTACTTTCGAGCTTTAATACTCTAGTGTGAATACAGTAAAATTTCTTTGGACCATATTATATAAGAATGTATAACATAATTCACAATAATGAGTAATACCTGGTATAGTCCGCATTACATAATTTCTTGGCACTGATCGTAAACTTTTTCCAGGAAGGATTTAATGTATTCTTAATTATTTCGGTTTTGTGTACAGCAACGTAGCTAATTTCATAATTTGGTAATATTGAATGGTTTAAAACGATTGACTTTAAAGTTTACGTAAATAACCATGAAGAGTTAACATTTAAAACTTTAAAAGTAGTCGTTGTATTATACCTGCCATCAGCATTCATTCGATGTATTACCAAGAATGGATCTGATTTACCAAATAAATCCTTCTTGTCTAAATGCTTTCCACGAAATTCAATCGTTACCAGATCCTACAACGTAGTCGTGGATTTATTTCACTTTAGTAACTTTAAGATATCTGCAATAGACTGATAGAGTACAACTACCGACGTCATTGGGAATTGATTTACATCACCACAGATTAACTTACATTACAAGGATTAACTTCTTCAGCCGTTACTATTAAGGTATTGATAGAATTAAGGCAAGAATAAATTTAAACAAAAAGGAATATAATCATCAATACAGCATTTGTCAATAGGAGGAGTAGGGTTGCGAACACGTCGATCATATACCTGTAATAGTACTCTTTTTACTTTTTGGGGTGGCCCTATTGGAAGAAAGTTTGAAGGATTTAATAAATATCTTATTTAGTCTAATTGTCTTATTATCAAAGAATATTTTGGTAACTGGTTGCAAAATTGATTGCTCAATTTGTGATTTCGATCTTACTCTAAAGGTTTTTCTATCTTTCCACCATTAGTAAGAATTTCCGCAAGTGTACAGTCAAGGCGACCAAGAAAGTCCTAATGAATTCGTCAAATTGTAATAGTTGGTATTGACAAATCGGGAAAGATACGAAAGGTATTAATTATTGAGATATACGTAAGTATTGTTGACAATATGTATACTTATTTGGAATCAATTAGGATCAGCTATCAATAAAAATAGTACTAACATGTCTATCAAGTTTGGCAGAGGCGGAATCCACGTCATAGCTAAAATTTTATTTTGGAACGCATAAAAAGAAAATTAATACCTGTGACGATAGCAGCCTCCAAGAGTACAATTTGTTGAATAATTAGTCAAGTTATAAAAGTATGTTTTGTGTATAGATATATTATAAATATGTGCTAACGATTGTAGCTGTTAAATATACAATTGCTGTGTTTATGAACACATTTTGTAGTCAATTTGCTGGATCAATGAGGGTAATGGATATTTATTTTATATTATCTCCTTGTGACACGGCCGAAGTCGCGACAATACCAGAAATTGTTGTACTTGTTTAATTCTTCAACGCTGCATATTATTGCATTGATTCATGACATCATTTGTGGATGTCTCTTAGTTGATACTTACATCTCGAAACGAAGTCTTTGGCATTCTTCAAATAGGTATGGCATTACAAAGGATTTGACGAAACTCGGGTTCAGGCTATCTTTGATACTTTCTGTCCTACCAAGCTATACGATTCAATCAATTCAAAAGAGAAATGATGCAGAAGTATTATCAGGACATTAGTCAATATCTAAAGTTCTATTGATGGAAAAGGTAGATAGTCTATTCCTACCTCTCTGTATCGTTGATTTATATCTTGCACATAGAGTACAGCCACTGTAATGAACAACAATACTCATGAGCAAAATCATTTCAACTCTCAGTATGACATGAATAATTCACGATCATAGTTAGTGTAGCTTCAAGCTAAAGCTGGTAATAAAGTGATTGTTATTGTAACTGAGATAGTTGTATGGTCTATAGTAGCCTTCAATCTATCGTATTGCATGAGTAGACTTGAAGAGTTAGAATGCAATTTTTTTTGCCAATTCTCGAATGATGTACTGATACATGATATCCAGCATTGCAGAGACTGTACGTTATCTCATTACACATAAAATCACCTCCGATTATGAATAAAATTAATGATATTTCAATTCTTGGTGTTACATTTTGTGTTTCAGACTATAAGCAAGTTAGCGTTAACAATTTAATCTGTAAAGTAACTGCAAATGTATGTGACTACATGTAATGGAATTTCAACTTTGTGAAGTACTGTACTATTAATCCAGCTCACTTCTGAGTCTATTGTAACAAAGTAAAGATCTGGCTATCTTTGTTATCCTATATGACTTACTTGGATCGGATTTGGAAAAGACATCTTTGTCCATTAAATTTCTGATTACCGAAAGAATGAAAAAGCAATAGTTTCTCATGAATGGCTATTGGCATGACTCAGAATAAATGATGTTTAAGTTTACATGTTATCCAGCAATATTAAAGATACCCAGTGGGTAAGATAAACTACGCATTATACTGTAAAGCTTGCATGAATGATGGAGTAACTTATTCTCTATCATAACAGTAGCTAAGCATAGAATAGACAACAGAGATGTACCCATTATTCCACTAAGAAAGTCCTATCTAGGCATTTACTGAACATTTCGATTATATTAGCAAATTAGCATTTGCGGACTACGTCATAGAGAAATGGATATGGGTATGTTCAATGAATCCATGTTATGTACAACAGTGTATTAACAGTAAAATGACATCCGGAAAGTTGATTGAGTGAGAATGGATTAGTTTACTTTGGCTTCGACATGATCCAATGGAGGCGATCAGAGTAGAACAGTGATCAAAAGCCAATAATCCATTCCCATTCTCCTTAAGCTTATGGGAATGCTAGAGTAATAGATTCTGCTAAGTAAAGTATTGACAAAAGCAGTGAGTAAAGAAAGATCCATGTTGTTTGTTAGCACACTGGTAGATCATGCTGGTTTGGATATAAATGCAAATGCCAACGTTGCCCAAACTTACATCCATTTCGATACAACTGGAAACTTGAATGCAGTAGCAGTGAGATTATGACACCTACTAATTCATCCCAATACCCGGATACCTCTTCCTTCTCGAGTGAAACACTATTTTCTACTTGTTGTTGTGGATATCGTTGTAGAGTAGGTAATCCTGTACTTGACTAGCACGACTACACTTATTTGGCTACTTGTTATTGTTTGTATTCAACAGCAATCATGATCATTCATTGTAATGGAACGTCGTTATGGGTGCAGTCTACACCGTCTTATTTCCTACTAGCGTTATCGAGTCTTAAACACAAGATAATTCAACTTTGCTATGATTGATATTACCCATGGAATCAGCCATAACAGCTGGAAGACATAATATGATTTTTTGGATACAAGACCAAATTGAATGACTGAAGGAAAATCATTCATCATCGACATTGCAATACAGCAACAACACTAATGGTAGTCATCATTTCGTTTGATGTAACTTACCTGCACGCTACATTGATAGTCACCTCCGATGCAGGCACTGCCGTTGATAACGGTATACTTGCTGCCATAATGGTTGTCCAAGGAAATAGAAAGTAAAAAATAAATCGAAGCAGCACCAAAATGGTTTCTACCCGTTGGGAAAGGTAAAGCAATCTGGCGAGGAGACTTGGGCGTGACCACCTTTGTTTTGATTTCTTTTTATGAAAGGGAGAAAAATGCATGGTAACTGTATGGAAGCGATGCCTTGAGTGGGTAGTTGAGTGTCTCTACTGGCGTTGCATTGACCAAAGTTACCTGGGACTACGGTACAGTACACTAGTACAGTACTGAGTTTACTGGGCACCGAGCTGAAGTGCGTACCATATTGCGTATTTTACATACTTTGAGGGAATGAAGGAATTACGCAGGCGCATGCCGGCAGAAGCTGAAGTGCGCATCCGCGTTCCGTTCCATTCGGTAGTTGACTCGGTACCTCTTTTTCCTACAGTGTACAGTGCATTCTGTACTGAAGTACTGTAAAGGGTGCGTGGGACTACAGTACTCAGACTGAAAGATTTTCTCCTCGGTTTCCTGCTGTACAGTACTCTACGAGTGTACGTACTGTAGACACTACAGTATCGACTGGTAGACGCGTGCGCAAATAGCATCGTGCAATGGTATCATATCAGAATGAAAAAAATGCGTCATATTCCATTTTGTCCATCAAACCATAGCAACTATAATTCATGTAATGCATTATGGCCGTAGGATACCTCCATGGCTCCATCCAATTATAAAATGCTAAAATCAATGCTGATGAAATTATCTTAGGCCTGCTTGGTTAACCATCCAATGTCATATTTTTCCAATGATACAAAAATTTTTCAATCTATCAACATACATGTAATGTACACGTATCTTATAGACATGCAAATATCCGTGTCTATTTAGTTAACTATAATTCATGCTATGTATTATGGCCGTAAGATACCTCCATGGCTCCATCCAATTATAAAATGCTAAAATCAATGCTGATGAAATTATCTTAGGCCTGCTTGGTTTCCAATGTCATATTTTTCCAATGATACAAAAATTTTTCAATCTATCAACATACATGTAATGTACACGTATCTTATAGACATGCAAATATCCGTGTCTATTTAGTTAACTATAATTCATGCAATGTATTATGGCCGTAAGATACCTCCATGGCTCCATCCAATTATAAAATGCTAAAATCAATGCTGATGAAATTATCTTAGGCCTGCTTGGTTTCCAATGTCATATTTTTCCAATGATACAAAAATTTTTCAATCTATCAACATACATGTAATGTACACGTATCTTATAGACATGCAAATATCCGTGTCTATTTGGTTAACTATAATTCATGCAATGTATTATGGCCGTAGGATACCTCCATGGCTCCATCCAATTATAAAATGCTAAAATCAATGTTGATGAAATTATCTCAGGCCTGCTTGGTTAACCATCCAATGTCATATTTTTCCAAGGATACAAAAATTTTTCAATCTATCAACATACATGTAATGTACACGTATCTTATAGACATGCAAATATCCGTGTCTATTTAGTTAACTATAATTCATGCAATGCATTATGGCCGTAAGATACCTCCATGGCTCCATCCAATTATAAAATACTAAAATCAATGTTGATGAAATTATCTCAGGCCTGCTGGTTTTCAATGTCATATTTTTCCAATGATGCAAAATTTTTTCAATAGATGAACATACATGTCATGTACACGTATCTTATAGACATGCAAATATCCATGCATCTACTGTATATTTAGTTATTGTTACAATTCTACATCAACCAGCTCTCAGCAAGAATCCCTTTCTCCCTTGCATCATTTTCTATCGTCTTGTTCTTTATCATAAACTACAGTACTGTACTATGGCCGCAACAGTTCTTAACATTAAATTATGCAGACTAGAAAGAAATGCTATCTCTTCATCATGTAGTTTTTTCTGCCATAAACATTTCCTAAATTGCTACTAACATGACGTTACATCTATCCATGAATAAAAGTACGAATAAACCAAGCTATCAGCCTGATGATCGATAGTACACGTACTTACAGCGAATAAAGTCAACGCTGTTGGTTCAATATTGTGGTTCAACATTAATACGGTGCCGTATTAATGTTGTGTCCGTACATGACTAGCCATGCTACGTAGTGATAGTTTAGCATCTTTCTGCCTTTCAAAAAACACACAATGAATTGAACAAGAAGGAATACCAACAGTCTAATTTTAATGGGCGTTTCCAGTACAGTTTATCATCATCAGTTTCATTTTATTCTTGGTAACGCAATCTATTGCTCATTTAGATATCATAAGCAAGATAATAATAAGGTAGCACAGTCTAGTCTATTTTTTTCGAACCAAAGTTACACCATCTGCTACGGTTAACATGACAAATTCAACACGTTCATCGTCTTTGATGATACTATTTAATTGACGAACCATTGTAGTATCGGCATCGTTAATAGACTCATCGGCTACATAACCTCGCCATAGCGTGTTGTCGATAGCAATCATCCCATCTTTTCTTAATAACTGCAGTGATTTTTCGTAGTAGTCAACATAATTGGTTTTATCTGCATCGATAAATATGAAATCGAAGGTACCAGATTCATTATCGCCAAGCAATTGGTCCATGCTTTCAACAGCTGGTCCAAGTCTTATATCGATTTTACCATCAACACCAGCTTCCTTCCAAAACGGTCTGCCAATATCAACAAATTCCTTGCTGATGTCTAAGCCAATTACTTTACCATCACTAGGCAAAGCAAGAGCCATTCCAAGTGTAGTGTATCCAGTAAACACACCTAAATTGTAAAGTAATCAAGCGAAAGCTATTATATTCACCTGAAAATATATGCTTGCCTGTCAATAAAGCACAATATTCATTGCCTACAAAATGTGATATACTGGTATTTTTCATGCCATTGAGCAAAGCTTTGAAATCACCGTCATTATACTAGGATATTAATAGTTATCATCAAATACTACAACATCATGATGCTGTAGAAGGAAGCTTATTGTAGTAGGAATATTTGGCAAGGGATATTAACTTGTATTAAATGGAGACTATATTATACTTAGTGTAGTCTCGATAGACTCACTACGCCAATGACATTAATCGTAAATAATGAGCATCTAATAGTCACAATTTTAGACAAGTATGTTATTTTAGGATGTTAGCAAGCAAACTTCAAGCAATTTCAAGGTATTTTTCATGCCATTGAGCAAAGCTTTGAAATCACCGTCATTATACTAGGATATTAATAGTCATCATCAAATACTACAGCATCATGATGCTGTAGCAGGAAGCTTATTGTAGTAGGAATATCTGGCAAGGGATATTAACTTGTATTAAATGGAGACTATATTATACTTAGTGTAGTCTCGATTACACCTGTCGAATAACGTTAATCGCAAATAATGAGCATCTAATAGAGACTATATTATACTTAGTGTAGTCTCGATAGACTCACTACGCCAATGACATTAATCGCAAATAATGAGCATCTAATAGAGACTATATTATACTTACTGTAGTGTAGTCTCGATAGACTCACTACGCCAATGACATTAATCGTAAATAATGAGCATCTAATTGTCACAATTTTAGACAAGTATGTTATTTTAGGATGTTAGCAAGCAAACTTCAAGCAATTTCAAGCCTATCTTCACAACTAAACAATTTAACCTAAACTACAGCCATTAAGATAGTTATTGTAGCATGCGGCATTAAAGATGAAAGGATAGTAAAATTATCCAAGGTATTTTTATTCTAATGCGTTGATAAGCAATCCCTTTGCAAAACATGTAAAATACGAGTATCCTACATAACAGCGTTATTGAACTATGCAGATATAAGTTATTAAGCGAATATGTGCTCCAAAGTAAGTCATTGGAAACTTTACTGCTTTTAACTTGCAAAATATAATCTATGAAGTAATGCAAGTATTCTTTACCGACTTCTAAAACCTTCTTTGCATGAATCAATTGCAATAAAAACTGCATCATGGAAACTTCATCTGATGTTGCAGCCATGATTGCCTCTGGATGGCCAGCTGATTTGTCACATAAGCGTTGCAACACCGGATGCTTTCGGAAGCCATACTTCAATACATACTGATAAATTGGAGATTCAGTCGGAAAACCAATAGGCCTCCCCATTATTTTGTACTAACGGTCGTTTTAAGTCACCCTTTCCTTTCCTTGAAGTAGTCCTTGGTAGAGATGTATAATAGTTGCATTTAAATCGACATTACATAGAATTCTTATTAATTATAATTATCAATTGTCCTACGTCGACTAGACTTGTTATCAATATATGATATTTAAAATATTTAGAACCTTTATGATACTGTGCTGTAGTATGCATTTATTATCACCCTAAGCAAAAATGGAGTCAACCAGGATTGTCGCCTTGTGATGTTACTGTAATCAATATTGCTTTCAATGGCTAGTGGCGTTGCAATATGATTTTACTCATTCACTACCTGCTGTACTACATATATATATATATACGGCTAATAGAACGATTAATCGATCTCCAAATTGGTCAATGAGTTGACTGTTGTAAAACCTGTTCTCAATTTACAATCCATTTGTTAACATTGATGATAGTTCATTATCCTCTCTATCACACTGTCTAAACTGATACAACGAGAATTATCATGATCCTAGTCTCGGTAGTGACAGTACTAATTTTCTACAATTTGGCCTTAATTTGCAGTCAGAATATAACGAATAATTTTACTTGATGTTACCTTTTTCTCCAACAGATGTCGGCGTGGAAAGGTTGTACAGAATGAAGCGATCTACACAGGGATCACGTTGCTATATCATGGCTACTGTACAGTATGTTATTTATTAAAATTGCACCAGACCTGGCTTAACGACATGAGGTCCAACTATCCGACTATACAAGAGAACTTGAATAATATCTCAAAAGGAAATTTCTGATTCCAAGTTTACTCGGAAAATTTCCATCAACTCCGTAGCTGCACTATAGAGGTAAAAGGAAACATTCCTTGCACCTCTATGAGCGCGTTGCACCATAGAGGTAAAAGGAAACATTCCTTGCACCTCTATGAGCTGCGTTGCACCATTAGTAATCGTTGATTTTACGTTTTCATTCATGGACTACGAACATACTCAGTTCTAGACTACTAAACATGTCCCGCAATCATCGACATTGTACTATCGATCACTGTACCTAGAAGGACGCGTACTGTAAGTGCTAATAATATTGCAATAACAAGTAAGTCAGTAATTAAAACATCAATGGCTAATTGCCGCAATGGCTCAGGGTTGTAGTGATCTGTCTGGGTGGAATTGGAGCCAAATTGATAATCTAGTTCTTCAAAAAACTGCAAGATAGAATTGAAATCAACACTACAGTATAGCTGAACAACTTCCAACCATTAAATTATAATTATACAGGGCCCGCTGCGCCTAGGGAATAGCGGTCTTTATTTTCTACTCCCTTGTTGGCATGGTCGATGACCATTGGTCATGCATGATATTCCGCCATTGACCAATGAGTCAATGGCCAATATTTCATTCTAATGAGGAAAAGCGATTCACGATGGCTGATTAGTCTATTTTTAATGGCGGTCATGCTAGTCACAATCAATACTTACTTTATTAGGGTATGCAGCTCTCCACCGCATCCGATCACTATATTCCCTAGCACATACTGTAGCTACTGTAATTAGCTGAAATCACGTCATACAACTGGTTATTGAACAGGCCAAAATTCAATATTTGCATCTGGATTTGTTATTTCTGTGTTTGCCTGACTCTAAAAGCGATCAATATTGCATCATTGAATGATTTTTTAATGCTAGCTGTCAATGTCAATCAACATCAACAGCGTGGTTGCCTGAAATAGGCTGTCCTCGGACAGAATACAGTGCACAAGTTTACCATTTTACATTTTGTATGTTGAAAGGCATGAATGATGATAGTAATGTACTGTGCATGCAGTATAATAGAACGATATTGCATGCCCAATAATAAATGACAAAATCGAATTCAATAGTAAGCATCAAGGTACAGTGCATTAATGCAGTCTACGGCAATAAGTTAGTCCATCTTACGTTTTCCAAACTCTTACTTTATAACAAGGAAGATTCGCTCCAAATCTCCAGACAAGTCCAGTAGAGTGAAAGTATTGAACTAAACTTGATTGTTTCCTATACCGTTATACAGTTGAATAAAGCTAACAGTTTACTAACGGTATATTGCAAATGCCAACCAATGCAATAACACTTTTACGACTAAGATAGCTGTCGATAGTTCATGAATTTAAACCAAATGATAACATATCAGGAATGCATTTAGGCAATGCTTTTATCTAGAGCCTCTTCTTTGGACTTGCACACTGCAAATTGCATGTCTAAGCGAATATGCTACTATAGTCAAGCAGGACAAGTGAAAAGCTGTAGTGAACTTATACGAAAGATAGAAACTCTATTGACATAAGTAGGGAAGATCTCATTTCGCAACAGTCCATCCATACAGTAATATTGAATGCAATACAATAATAATAATTATAAAACAGCCAAAGGCAGATTCTGAATCCGAATGCTCCAAAGAAAGGATTAAAAATACTCAAGCTCTTTCTACTCTCTATATACGAGTGTTTAGCAAGAACACAAAGTGAGTATTTTGTACAACAGGGATAGGAACTTTTGCTGCATAAAGTTCCTTGTCAACAATCTCTACCTTCTACGACGGGCTCTACTTGCAGTCCAAGCTTGATAACCAAAGCTAACAAGGATTACATCAAGTCTCAGTTATAGCATGAACGGACATCTTAACATTTTTGATGAAAAAAGCCATTCGTTTTTCCAAGAGGTACTATCATAAATAACATGCAGGTGTATATGTATGTTACAGTTCTTGTCACATCCCATGTGTACTTGAGGCACAGTCTATAATATAACACTAATTTTTTCTCCATACGAGTATACTATTATCCTTCAATATTCGTTGGATAAAGCAACCATGTCGCCATTTATCATTGTTATGACGCTTTAACCTTAGCTTTCTTATTATCACTGCATAGCATCACCATTCCATTCCATAAAAGTCTCAATACTTTCACAATCAAATAACAGATCGCAATCATCACCGCAAATACATCCAATAGATAGAACTCATACCATTTCAAGTTATATTCCTCTGTTCGTAAATAATCGCCTCCGTTACAATTTAAAGCATATTCAACCCAATCGCCTGCTTCTTCAACGGGTTTCCTACCGTTAGGTCTATTCTTTATTATTTTTGATACTTTAGAAGCATTGCCGAGAATATCCTGATCGCTAGTTACTTTCATGACAGCATTATATAAATCATCACTTGCTAGAGTTCTTATATTTAAAATAACCCCAATAGTTCTAGCTGTAATTTTGTTAGCATGTGCAATTTGATCTCCAGCTATTGGGATTCCAACCATAGGTACGCCATGATAACCAGCTTCAAGAATGCCGTTATAGCCGCAGTGGGTAACAAATGCTTTAACTTGTGGATGGCCTAATAGATCATTTTGTGGTAACCATTGAACTAATTTAAGATTCCTAGAGGCAACTTCATCGGGCAATTCTTCATCATACTTCCAGATGACATTATAAGGTAGCCGACGAAAGGCATAGAAAAAGATTTGCATATCCACGATATGTTTTAAGGCTGTTACAACTGTGCCAAAGGATACTACGATAGCACCCTTTGGATTAGACGTTATAAACCGTTCTAGGTCTGTAGGTAATGACTGTGCTGGTTTGGCTAGAATAGGTCCAACAAGCTTGCTACTTGGTGTTAAAGGCTGAGGATAATCGATTGCAAAATCACCATTAGCTATAAGAAAACTTGCTCTTCTAACTTCATATCGAGGAATGGTTTTTAATCCAAGTTTGCTTGCATTTGTAACTGCATAAATTGGTTTGAAAATCAAATGGTTGAGGGCTGGTAATAATATAAGGTTAATAATAACATTCGCTGTACGCTCAATGAGGTTCATTTTGCTTGCCAGGCTATATTGAGGGATATAAGCTGGAGGGCTTGGAATATGATGTAACGAAGTAAACGGTTCCCCAATTCCAAGGGGAGATACATCAATCTGAATTGGAATATCGGCATATTCGGCTACTACCTGGCAGGCATAAAATATAGGATCGCATAAAATTGCATCTAAGAAGGAAAATAAATTTCATTTAATTACCTTGCGAACTATAATGGTGTCAAGTAGGAATAAATATTAAGTTTTAAACTAATATTCGAACAGGGACTTTTGACTATTAAATTAAAAGTCCCTGAATTTGATGTAATCATCCAGTAAAGATGACGCAAATTAACCGAGTTTGTCATGGCTCAAGTTATTCTTCGCTTATCAAGACTTTAGTAGGTTTAGATAATAATATACTGTATATATAAGACTTAATCGTAATGAGGACTACGACGATATTGCAAAATTACGTACAGGATAGACTCCTAAAATAGGAACAGGTATAAATTTCGAACTAGCATTCTAATCGAACGACACAGTACCGTATTTAGCCAGACAGTAAATTTGCAATGCTTATCATGATGCTCGGCATTGCAGTTCGCTTAGACAATAACCTGCATAAGATTGCATTAAGAGTGTTACGGATAAGAATATGTGTGCCACAATCGAATTAGCCGTTTATAAATGGATGGAATAAACTAAAAGAGATTGAACTTGACAGCGCTTGTCCTGCCTATCATCTTGCCTAATGTTGAACTATCAGTGCAATATACTGTAATGATGCAGTAAATTTTGAAAGAGCAAATCAGCCGTGTTTACCATGACTATATCTTCAATAATTTATATTCGAAACTTTGTTAATCTTCGTTAACAATCTACTGCACATTAAATTAGGCTACATCTAAGCATCATGTCGACGATCAGCCGTTCAACTATCCGACAACCTTATCTATTGCAAGTATTCACCAAGAACACCGTTTTAAAGTACATCGTAGAAATGATATTGCAGACAAATTATATAATTATTGCTAACTGTATATTGTTATGTTATACACTAAAAGAGATCGGATCGGAACTTACCAAATCTTTCTGCTCTAAATTCTTGGAGTAGAGTTAGATTATCGCTGACGGCTTGGGATCCCGTGACGAAAAGCTTAGTAATACAGGGTGCAAGAAGGGGATCATTAGTTTTGATCGAATTAGTTGTACATATAGCTAAATCTTCTTGGACCACTTTTGTTGGATAGTATTTGACTATGAGCTTTATTTCTGGAGGTAATTGAATGAAGGACGGTAATGCCATGATTACTGTATGACCTCTTTGATGCAATTCTTGGCCAACAGAAGCCACAACAGCAGCATGACTATAATAGTGCGGTGCCATTGCCAAAATTTTAGCACCAAAGCTACCATTAACATAGATTGCCAAGCTAACTGCGAACAAGACCCAGATTATCTGGCCCATCTGAACTATTTTAACTTCCTAATTGTAATTCAAGATCTAACATGAGCCATAAAATTGAAGGAATGGATAGAAATAGAGCCACAAATACTGGCTTTAAGGAAATTATGGAAATTAATCGTGAAGGCTTCTAGGCTAATTAAAAATATGGACAGCAAGGCCAAATAATCCTAACCACTCAATCTTTGACCTTATATACAGGAGGTACTCAATCATTCCATTATGCAATATGGTACAGTAGAACAGGATCCATGTAAACAAAATAGTTAGAGTAGATATATATAGTCATAAGGATCGTCGTCGATACTCATACCATACTCCATGGATACTTGTGCAGTATCATATCGAATATAATTAATGCTAGAAAACCAAAAATAAATGAATTTAAGACCATTCTTGATGAAGTTCAGTATCAATCTTTTACTTCAGTTATACAAGAAATAAATGATTAAACCCTAATGTATTATTGGAGTATTACAATGTATCTTACTACAAGAGTACATGCAATACCTAATGGTCTCATTGAGCCTGAAAAACTAGACTATTAATACTTCGACTATTCAGCACCCTGATATCGTTGATGGCAAGGAATCAATTGTAGTTTTCAAGAAGAAATCACCTTGAAGATGAATACTGTAGAAATAGCTATTATATTAGCACACACACATCCAGCTACCTATGCGTGTGTTAATTAAATTGTTAATCCAATCGCCTGTCGTATGTTATTAACCTTCCAAGTTGATATACTGTACCTACGTGTATTCTTGAAATGCCGCAATTTACTCTTGAATAAAAATTGATATTATTGTTCCATAAATCAAGGTAATATAGCCAAGTTTGACAAGAAATGTTAGTTCTTGTTTTAATATTTCAAACATAATCTATCACTGTTATCTCAATGGTCTTGCATACGTGATCATTTTGTTCGTAAATAGTATTTATTATCTTTCACACGACTATGCAATTTACTTTCCATGGCTATAATTCCTTTAATAGCGGCAAAAAACTTTCCACACAGTATGCACCTTCATTTCGTTATCAATGAGTAACTACCAGTAGCAAATGAGGGGTTATAACTATTTAATCATGTTTACAATCGAAATTTAATAAGCGTATAATGGCGTCTATCATTTACTTATACAACAGTATTCATTTCTACATTTGGTAATTTATCGAACGCTTGAAAATTTAACAGTAGACAACTTTTTAAAGCCTTAGATATAACAATAGTGATATTGAAGTTACTTAATCGAATACCATCCAACCGATTTCTACAAATAACATTTTGTATTCCTGTTATATTTCTTAAATAGTCAAGAGTAGTGAGTGCCAAATTAAGTACCTGCATATACGTACACAATGATAATATTTCCTCCACTATATTACATTGTCGAACCGCAACATATTTAATCTATGACGACGTTATGAGTAGTGCCAAAAGTTATTCTTATACAGTACAGTACCAGTACGCTAAAATGTATGAAAATTACTCAATCAATTACCTATAGATATTAATTTTAACAATCACATGCCACGTAGTATACTGATTCACTACAAAGTTTGTGCGTCAATGTTAACTATTACTTGATAACATGAAAGAAATTGAAAAGTATCTTGTTTACGTAGGAATCTATATCCCCTACATTCCTACATTCTTTAATTATAGTAACTGTCTATCACGACACTAATAAATAACTTGCAAGATTACAACGGCTAGTTTATAACAGATGCTCAAAAATTATTTTTATAGGTAAGAGATACCATAATCAAGGATTCAACTTAATTTTAAATTCTAGTTTTACATTACTAATTGAACGATCTAGATATTATACCGTTAATTTCAATTTTTTTATAATCAAGATTGATAAGCTGGAGGAAGATTTGGTTTAACTTTATTCATCTTCATATATGATTGAATTTGTTCAGGTATTTCAGCAAGTACTTCTCTAGCCAGCTGAACTGAAGCCGAGTTGGTAATTTGTCCATTGACTAAGAATTTGGAAAATGGGACAAACTGCAAAAAAATCAAATCGAAATTTTTTGTAAAGGCTTCAGATGGATAACAAGATCATTTACTGAACGAAATAACGATCGTATATAGTATTATTTAGTAAAGAGTAGCAAGTTGTAGCAGTCATTTAATAACAACTATTATTACTACCTGTACAATATCTCTGACGGCATATCTTCCTCTCGATGACAGCCGTTCATCATCCCCATCCAATATTTCCATAGCTAATAAATCAATAGAATATTAGTGATCCATAGTTTCGTATCTAGCTAGTAAACAACTACCATACTTAGATTTTACACTAGTGATCCATAGTTTAGCATTTAGCTAGTAAACAACTATCATACTTAAGTATTACACTAGGCAGTATAACATTAGTAACCTTCAAACTCAGCATCTCCAATGCCAACAATAATAATTGATAACGGTAAATGCGAAGCCTATAAATCGAATTGGATATAAATACGGGGTAACAATAAAAATCAAAGTATCGCTAATATCGAAATAATGATACTTACACTGACAATTGCATCCTTAGTCAAGGCCATATCAGATATTGCACCATCAGTTAACATCAACAGAATACAGTAGCTAATAGTAATAATATAGCATCATCGTTATTATAATAGCGTACAGACAAATATTTTATTCCTTATTTAGGGATATGCTAGGTGTATGATACCTGCTGCCAGGATTTTGATGACTTTCATGGGCAAATCTAATCAAAGTAATTTTTTGTTACATTTCTGAAATCAGCTTACATGGTCATATATGCATAATAAGCAGAGCAAACTACACATGTATAGAATAATTATTTACAAACCGAGCAACATGATTGATGATAGGGGCAAAGTTGGTAGGCCCTATAATTAATAATGAAACTGTTAGTCATGCTGGTATGCACACATAGGTTCTTTCAATATTAATAACCAGCACTAGCCTTAAAGCAAGACCTACCATATAACTGAACAGAGTTTAAACTGAGTAAGTACGCATTTAGTACACCCTGTATGGTTGAACAGTAAGGATCATCAGGGCTGCCATTCTATGATTGTAAAAGAGCATTAAAGATTAGTTAAAGAAAGCCTTATAAATCACAGCTACAAAGCTGCTAAAAATGATGCAGTATACCAAGAAAAATTCATGCGATACGACACCATTGGGCATACGTCCTCCAAAACCAAGGGCTGGAAACATTTTATCACTGTCGATCACATCATAGAAAAGATTTCAGCAAGTTAAAATCATAAAATGTACATAACTACTATTTACCTATCATATTCTTGGCAAACTTCACCAACAGCTACTAAAGCTTTCATATATGCATTTGGCTTGCCAGGTCGATTATAATGCAGCGAATTTGATTTTCTCGGATCACCTTTAATTATGGAATAAATAGTGTTTCACTTACAAAATACGATAAAAAGCTAAGGACTAAAAAATGTATTTGATTATCATGGTTTATGTTTATGCGCTAATAACTAACCATTTGAAGCGGTAAAGTCAATTCCGACAGTGAAATTGATTTGTAGTCTATAAGAAAAAGACATTCAATTTATACTCTAAAGCACCCTAGACATCTTTGCCAATATATAACAAGTAATTTTATGAGCAATCCACTATTAAAATAAGATACCTACCCACCACGAATGTAATCCAAATACGAGGGTTGCTCTTCTATTAGTAGTCTTGTAATTAGGATCTAACACGAGTTGATGACATAATTTAACTATTGCATGAGTAACTGGCAAGTGAGAATTAAGGTCGTACTTGCTAGCAAAATGAACAACAGGCATTCAATAATAGAAATAAGCTTATGTCACTCACTTCTCCAGAATTTTTGTACTTTTTCTTTTTCTGTTTTTTCTTCGGGTTAATACACTAAATTTATAGAATCATAAATTAATACAGATTGAGTTAGGAACAATCTAAGGTGAGTAACCAAACTATTTTTATAACATTTTTGAAGCGTTGTATAAAACTAAATCTTATTAATATATTAAAAATTTGTCCAATATCTAAAAGTGGTTGCTTTACAGTACGTGAAACATACTTCGAAAGTAATCGGCAAGCTCTGTTGTCTACGTTCTTGCAACACCACGTCGAAAATGCCAATGAGATCGTGACTGCGAGCGAAACGTTAAAATGATCAAAAATTTAAGAGAATAAGAGGTCACTTGGATAATGATATAGGATATCCCATTTTTAAATTATATCAACTGCTACCTGCCGTCACTATCCCAATCATAGCACTCAACTCTTAGCGGCCTAAAATGGTCAATGATAATACATTACGTTTTGACTGTGTAGTGTGTATGCATGTAATTGATTAAAATATTTTTGTTTTTACCAATTTGATAAAGATCACCAAACTTAGACTACCACTCCAACAATTGAAAAAATTTACTTTCAGTATTTACCGAACTCCATCAACAGATGTGATGTAACTAACATTTCTGAAGACTGGTGATTTGACATCTAAATTTCAATTTATCGAATACCTGGTATAGTCTGCATTGCATAACTTTCTTGCTTTAATAGTAAATGGCTTCCAAGTAGGGTTTAACGTATTCTTAATTATTTCGGTTTTATGTACAGCAACATAACTAACAAGAAGATAACAGTGATCTCGTAATTAATATTTGCATTAAAAAAAGATTGCTACGATCAAAGATGTAAAGATAAATAGAAAGTAACTGTTTAAGATTCTAATTTTTTTCCGGAGCACATGCGACAATCGAAGTAAAATTTTAAAGACTGCTAATAAATATCTTACCTACCAGGTTATATACTAATCTGTGCGAATTTACGGCTGTAAAGTGATTAGTAGCTAGTAACGATTTATATAACTAAACTTTGAAGTAATAATAAATTATGTAATAGATAATATGTATGTATAAGTTACAAATTAAATAAAATACGTATTTTTTATGGATAAAGTACTATCAAATAATTGCGATAGCTTTACAAATACATAAATCAGGATTTACCAAGTGATGCTAATTTTAAAATGTAAACTTATTGCTTCAAATGCAATCATTACTAACTGTAAAAATCATGGTTCTGACTAGCGCTGCAGCAAGGGAGAGTACATGAAATACTGTACAGAGATTGTACATGGTCAACTACTATTTACTGTAAAATGGCGCAATATGTCTTATTGCAAATAACTATTTTCGAGAGAGTCGCATCATCCATATAAAAGGTGTATTTCTAAAAAAAATTACAGACTAATAAAGTTTAGCTAATGTCGCAATTTATTGAATATTTTCTGTTTAATGGGGTAAGTGCAATCATATTAAATATAAAATTACACTTTAATTCCTACCTGCCATCATTATTTTGTCGATATAATACCAAGAATGGATCAGATTTACCGAAAAAATCTTTCTTGTCTAAGTGCTTACCACAAAATGCTAATGTTACTATATCCTTGATAATTATATTGTAGCATGTTGATTAATAGAAATACGCAATGAGTAAAATATTGATACAGTAAAATAAATATACTTTAATCAAAAATAACTTACATTACAGGGATTTAATTCCTCAGCAGTAACTATAAGATTAAGACATATTTACTTTGCATCAATCAATCAATACAAAATCCACACACTAAATGCATTTACTGTCAATGCACAATAATAAATACCTATGATGGTATTCTTTTTATTTGAAGTACCCCTATCAACATTAGAATTTGCAAACGTAATAATTAGTATATCAGTCCATACGAGGTTTTACGCTGTAATCGATTATATAAACATCGAGTAATAAAATTGAGTACACGACTATTTCCTTACTGAAGCGGCTTTTCTATCCTTCCACCATGACTAAGAATTTCCGCTAATGTACACTCTAAGTGGCCAAGAAAGTCCTATCACATAAAAATTTTAAGTTATATAAGGACAATAGCAATTTATTGCATCATAATAGTATAAATCAGCGATCAGAAAATTATGTTTTTAGTCAAAGACAACAACTAGTACAAATACAGTATTTCGATATTTACTGTCTATTTTACATAATTCAAAGGATTCCAATGATATAGTTATATTTACATGTTTACTCAATTGAGCGGAAGCGGAATCGACATCATAGCTAAAATTGGAAAATATCAAGTTAGTGATAAGTATTCAAATTTTCTACAGATAAGGGTCATACATTATTCTAGAAATCTTGCAGATTTTTTAAATTAATATCGAGTAATGCATATATACTGAGCTATAAGTTTGAGATATATTAGTATATCCTAAGTCTATATACATCGAGTCACTTGGCAATAATTAGTTACATTTCAAAACGGAGTCTTTGACATTCTTCAAATATATAAGGCATCACAAAAGCTTTGACAAAGATTGGATTGAGGGTATCCTTGATGCATTCTGTTCTACCAAACTGAAGTAATCATCAAAGTGCAAGCTTCAATTTAGAGTTTCAATGCTACAGTGCCATGAAAGTTAATTTGATAAATTAATACAACAACCACTTTTCCTGCATCATACCTCGACAAATTTTCGATTAGCATTTTCAACATAACATACCGCCACTAGAATAATCGATGTAAAAAACAGATAATATTTTAGTTCTCGCAGATTTATACACCATGGTAGTAAGTATATAGTTTCAGTCTATCATACACTAACAATAATTACGAAAATAGATATTAAAATTTCTAATCTAGATTACCACTGCTTAAAAAAATAAATAACACCAAGTGTAAACTGCAAGCTTGTAAAACAGTATCATAGTCAAAAGATAGTACAAGATGTAGTAATGTATGTCATGAGGAATAATCATGCATTGCAACAGTATATTCAAGGGTAATAGTGATAGTAATTTGTATGCATGATTATTCAATCCCTTCAATCATATTAAGTAACGTTATATATTACTTCATATTTTCGGATAATTCAAGTCGCATTAACATTTGATTCGTGATTATAGTATCGATAAAAAAATTCGTGCAATCCAAGTAGGTATCCTATTATGATAAGTATAGTCCTTTCTTGCAATATACTATACTGTCGTATGTGAATATGGAAAGTAATAAGTGGTTACTGGACATAAATAAACCCTTTGTTTCCTACTTGTCACTACTGTAAAATATTCACTAATAAGAAAGAAATTAAAAACGAACATATTGACAACTACAATCATAGTCACTACATTGTTTAGTATTTATAAGTATGGATTCCACTATATGATGGAAAACAGTATTTGTATCTAACATTAAAAATGAAGACGTTGGCAAATTCCGTGAACTAAAATGGTTATTTTCATTCTTTAAGGGTATCTAACTATCTATCTTGACCATAATCAATCGTATATAGTGACATGAAATAAGTTGTCATGGAACTAATTAACCATTGTGTATCTGAAATTGGATATATTGTAATTCTTATTCAATAGTACAATATAAAAGCGAGGTTATTTTTTAGTGGTGTGAAGGTATCCTAGGATATATTATAATTAGCACGCACTCATTATTGCGTAAAACACAATTCACGGAATGGTTAATATTAGTGACGAATAAATAAACCTATCTAGTATAGGTAGTGATTTTACTAAGGCTATTTGAATTAATACGGTCTCTAAGTAGATGTTCACATTAACCCTATCTTAACGAATATGATATCCATGTATCCTATATACAGCAGTTTTATGGAATAGGCATGAGATCAGAAACAATCGAAATAGACAAGAATATACGTTGCAAATAACACTAATCTTATTTCAGTAACGTAACACTATAGATTACTGCTATAATTTATATTCATTACTAATCGATGTAGAACCCTTTCAATGCCGTTGTATCAGTTCAATTCGATATTTAATTCAAAGAGAAATGAATTTTTTGTAGAAAAAGCAACAGTAAAAACCTTAAGAAAGACATCATAATTGACTTACTTGGATCGGATTTTGAAAAGACATCTTTATTTGATAAGTTCCTATACATTATAAATAAGAAATAACGTTATCATTAATTTTGATACAGCAAAAGAGTTTCATGACATCTGTCCAAGAGCATTCATTTATGCATACTAGATGATGAAAGAAAATAGTGTAGGCTATACGTAATGGTTTTCATCAATTAAAATTTTAGTTATCCCTTTTTTTACCATCGATCTGATTGAGAGTATCAACACGATAAGACAAATTGATTTTTACTCTTCAGGCAACGAGTCATCTGAATTGATCGAGCCACTTAATGAAATGAAATATTATTATTTTAAACTACGCTAACCGAGTATAAAATGATGCTATGCTATTATGAATAAATCAGTCCTTTCGTTAATCATTAGATCTCTTTATGAGTTATTAGAATAATAACGGAGTAATTTCTATTTCACTCATTTAATTATCAACATACGAAGACTAAAAGGACTAAATATTAAAGCTAGTTGTAAACTGCTGTTTGTGTATTCACGTAGTAAACCATAATGCCAACAAAATGACTCCATGACACATATATGGCGCTGTCGTTGATTGCTATTCGTAACAACACCGATTCTCTTATGATAAACTTAACACTGTTGGATATCTTGTGGGTCTATTTCATTCCGTTGACCACTGCTGCTGTAAATAGCTTTAATCAACAAAAATATAACAGAAGATGACATTTCATGATCACCATTGGATCACTGCAGTGGATTTCTTTTGAAATCGTTTCCACTAGGCTGCTTAAGAACGAATTTATATTTCATATTCGTTGTCTGCAATATAATGTAACAGTTCTAGAAATGGCAGCTTGATTGAGACTTGATCATACTTGATAAAATGACTAAAACAAGCTACCATCAGGGAAGAGTATACTGTATCGCTAAATATCAAAGCATCCATTCAAAATAGGCTTTTGATGGCAATTGCAGGCTTGTATTGTCGTTGAAATTTTTTAATTTCATTTCTGTTGTGATTATTCTAATATAGTCAAGTTAATCCTAATTTGAGTCATCAATAAGGCAATAAAAGGATAAGGCAGTAAAATCAACGCATAAATAACACTAACGAATCTTATTGATTCATTGCACAAGCTAGTACCATTTCAAAATAAGCATGTCTCTTCTACAATTCATGTAGATGAGCCTAGACACGATATTGCCACTCTACTGTACATTAGAGTAAAATTAATAGGAATAGGATTATCCTTAGTATGACTTACTATCAATAAAATACATGCAAAATGTGTTCTTCTATCGATCCAGTTTACAATGAAAGATATTCAATCTCTCTACAGTAGGTTAATTAAAATTACCATCACTTAACATACCATGACAAATCAACATGGCCATGAATAGACTACGTAGGGGAAAATACCCAACATTGCATCGATATTACGAGCGAATGGACAGCCCTTCTATCCATCCAGTTTACAATGAAAGATATTCAATCTCTCTACAGAAGGTTAATTAAAATTACCATCACTTAACATACCATGACAAATCAAAATAAGCATGTCTCTTCTACAATTCATGTAGATGAGCCTAGACACGATATTGCTACTCTACTATACTATACATTAGAGTAACATTAATAGGAATAGGATTATCTGCGGCTAGACGTAAAAATTGTCTTCTTCTATTGAAGTAACTTCCAAACTGTTTCGTATTAGGTCGATCGGATAAGAGGTTTTCAACTACTTCTAGCGATCTATTGCCCTCCGTTCCAAGTAGATTAGTAGAGTTCTTGTTTGAGTTAAAACAACTTAGTAGGACTTACTATTAATAAAATGCATGTAAAATGTGTTCTTCTATCGATCCAGTTTACAATGAAAGATATTCAATCTCTCTACAGTAGGTTAATTAAAATTTTCATTACTTAACATACCATGACAAATCAACATGGCCATGAATAGACTACGTGGGGGAAAATACCCAACATTGCATCGATATTACGAGCGAATGGACAGCCTGATTTGTGTACCATAGCTTGAAATGAAATATCTTGAACACATCAAAATCCTCATGGCTTCATTTCTCATCATAAACGGACATAATCATATTACAGTTTACAAGTTGATACATGTTTTGTCCATTGAGGGAGAGTTTTTAACTCTTAGTAGCTTTATACTACTAGTAGATCACAACCTCTAAAACTTGCACTAATCTAAATCAACAACATAATACTGAATGATCGACATGTAAAACATATCCTTCTATCCATCTACATAGCTTACAAACTGATTTCAATTTCATTGGTCGAATCAGAGCTTTTCAACTCTCTCTACAGTAGATCAAAATCCTCAATGATTTGACATGGAGCACTTAATCAACATAATCATTTAAATCTATAAAGGCGAGTAGTTTCTAAGAAGTTGATTAACGTTTCACCGATTAATAAAAGGAAAGATTTTCAATCGGTTTACGGTAGATCAGATCTCTATGACTTAGTATGTCTTGCAATGTAGCATCATGAAAAGATCATGTACATGTTCATTACACTCTTGTATCTATCACCCTATCAATCCGATTGCTGCAACAATTTCAAGACAAGCTACAACTCTTGCATTTCGTTACCAACTAACTACAGATATTATTTACTTCCTTACTGTTGTTTCACAACAACTAACTTTATACGCTTTTGCAAATCAACAACATCATAAAAGGAATACAAGGAAATTCCATCCTGGTAACCCTATAACGCTATCAATCGGATTATTTTAACAACTTCATGGCAAGCTGTAAGTTTTCCTAATAACTAATAACAACACCTATCGTTTCATTTTGTTCCCACAGGACAGCACTGAATGTGTTAACAACTTCATAGCAAGTTTTTCCCCTTCACTACCAACAACACCTATCACTTAATATTGTTGCCGATAGTACCGTCGTGATGGTTTTGAACAACTTTAAGGCAAGATACAAGATTCACGATAGAATTACAACTGGATCTAAATGGCTTAATTTTGTTGCCGAATAGTAACGATAGTCTAGAATATTACCTGCAGGAAATACTGATGCTCACTTCCGACGATGGGACGGTATTAGATACGGTGATACTAGTAGCCATCGTTGAATCACTTGAACGAAATCCACTTGCTTGCTTTCCCTACAAATTACTGCTGATCTTCTTGACCTTCTCGCCTTGACAAGGATAAGAGTCCAACAGATTGGGCTACTTCGAGGAAGACAAATTGCTGCTACTCCTCCTACTGGCACAATTTCACACCAAGCGTTGTTCTGACTTGAGAGACTAATTACAACAGTCCAGTCGTAGATAGTCTGTAACTAGGGGGTAAGTAAATAAGACAAAATGAATTCTTTCGCCTCTTTTCTGGCACAATTTCACACCTACCGTTGTTCCGACTTGAGAGACTAATTACAACAGTCCAGTCGTAGATAGTCTGTAACTAGGGGGGTAAGGAAGTAAGACAAAATGAATTCTTTTGCCTCTTTTCACACAATCTAGAAAGGCCTAGACAAAAATGACTACGACAGATTTGAAAGTATAGACGATAAGACGAGTTACCAATCCACTTGTCACAGTAGCAAATTGGATTTCGATTTTTATATAGGATCTAGATGGAGGAGAAATGATCCAACTGGCTTAGTCTGCAGATCCACTGTAGGTAGCACTTTGAGTACGTTGATTGATATAGTATGACTACGTTGCTACGGTCTTAACCCGAAAATAACATCATGAATTTAGTTTGGAATTGAAAACAAGATTCAGATTGTCTAATGCGAACATTTTGCTATACTATAGTCTGCCTTGATGATATCATCATGGATGATATACAGTCGTTAAAATTGGTGTTCTATCATTATTTTGAAACACCTATTTTGAAATTTACAAGACTAATAAGAACAAACTCGAATTGATTATATCATCGTGTTATTTTCCGCTTAGGGCGGTAGCTATTTATGGAGTCATTGACGTATTGCAAATCCCTTTTCGACCGGAAATACTACGCCATCAACTCATTAACTGCCTAATTTATTCAATTAGTACCAGGATAGATGATACAAAATTGTGCATAGAGGATTATTTTCACCAATTCAGGACTGATTATGGATTGATGGACACTTTTTAGGACATCGATCGCTGTAGACTACTGTACGAGAAGATCCAAATGACCGACATTTTATGGGCTCATGTCCAAATCCAGTCGATCGACCACTTGATCAACTTCATCACTTGCTATAGTATTAAACGAGCAGTAACATTTGATATAATAACATAGCCATGGCGATCAAACCTCCTTCTCTTCTCTCTTTTACCTTCACAACTGCAATTTCATCGAGTGCTCATAAACATTCATGATCATGAATGTTTACGATATTGATAGAGAGGGAAAATCAACGCTATAGCAACGCTAAACGGCTTTCAATGGACTAAAATGCCAAAGAATAAAATGGACTCCTTCAATGTTGGCCTACGTCGAGTATTGAATCCTTGCTTGCCATATCTTGATGAGGATTTCAATTCAATTATTCACTCCAATACAGTTGCTAACCCTAACCTTAACATTAGCACAATTGGTAAAAACTGCTTCACAATTATTTCCAGTTCAATGCTAGCTAAAATGGAAAGTAATGAGCGAATGTAATATAATTAATTTATCTAGAACCGGTAAATCATTAGCAGAAGATCCGGTCATGACGTTGGAGGACATCGGAAGGAGTTCTTATGGCGTCTATTTGCATTCGAAAGTAGTGCCAGGCCATTGCTTTCCACTATGCCAAAGGTTTATGAGCATACTTGCTTTCGTGGCAACACTGTACCCTTATTCGTCTATAATTTTACGATAGGGCATGTAGGATAGATCATTAGATGCGAAAATATAGGCTATATAGGATCGCATGTGTTGTCGATTAACCAGTCAGGGAATCAGTAGACGGAAAGAAGGGAATGGTTCAATCGTTTGAGTTATTGATTCCTTAATGTCATGGTTCTAATGGCAAGCAAGGATAGATTACGGAATGGAATAAATTGCATATTCCTCTATGGTTATAGAGACAATAAATCATATTCCGACCACGGCAACAATTTAGCAATATCAAGGGATGCGATTTCTGTCATACCCATTCGAAATAACCGTAATAATCCGTAACTTAGATTATTTGGTCATAAAATCCAATTTAAAACAGGAATTTACCAGTAAAACATGGCAACCCATCATAAAATGCAATAAACATTTGCTGAAAGGACTCCAATTTTTGTGATCAAAATTTGATCAAAATTTTTCCGGAACTTTCTAAACAGTAACAGCGATTGCATATATCTTATGTGCTCTTACTTTGACAGTATCCCTATTTTCATTGAATCTATAGTCTATCGAACGCGAAATTGACGTTTGAGTATGTATTAATCATCAAATTTGTAGAAATCGTTGAGGTAATTTTACTTCACTTTAAGAATTTCAAGTGAGCATAACAAGACTTTCGAGACATATGATTATTATGATACTCAATTCATTACTACGATAGGCTGCACAGAACGAACTGATTCAGTGCCAGTAAATAAATCGGCTCAATTTTTTTTAATTTAATTAAAAGCCTTCAGGACGCCCATTTATTGCTCAACTCCTTTACTCATAAAATATTATTTTTATGGCAAAACTTTAGCCGTTGGCGAGCAGTTATCCTACGAAAAGGATGATCTTGCAAACGCCTTGAAAGTGACAAATGTAAAATTCACAGGAGAATTTCTCTCAGATCGCTTTGATAGAATTAATGAATGAGATCGAATCAATATAAACTAACTCATTTCTATCAATCTATTAATTCATTTTTATTCCAATAAAAATCTTCACAACATCCAATTCTTGCCCAACTACTTGATTCATGGAATACCATTTTCGTAACAAAATTTGATCTTATAAAAAGGATAATCATCAATATTGCGATACTCTACTAATCGAATGCCATTCTTCACGACAATGTTTTAACGTAGAAATAACAAGCATAGACGAAGCCCATTTTAAATAGGCAAAAAAGATGAAGTTAAGTATAACTTAAATTCTTCAATATTGATAAATAACTCTGCTATCGTCGTTCTCCCTATTTTTGCACTATTCCATCATTTGATTCTTACGGTAAGCGAAAATAGCAGAGATGTCCCAGTCAATAATTTTATTAATATTCTGTATCAATCAAGATCTTGAATCAACTATGAAAGGCTTCATGCACTATATTCTGGGAGTAAAAAGTAGCTCATATGATAATTGTCTTAATCGAGATACCGAGCAATAAAAGCTTTTTATTGCAGAGTTTAAGGATAGTAGAGCAATAATGAATTACAACTATAATCTTATCTAAAGTATTATAAGCTCAAAAGAAGTCAAATTTAGGCTTAAACACTTGGTTTTTTCTTCACACTTTTCAAATCTATTTCGTTCCACCAAATAAAGTTGTCTACAATCAGACTTGAGCCATAAAACAGAAGACTTTCCTCAGATAGATCATCTATAGGTTTATACCGTACGAATCAATCTGTTTAAATGTCATTACTCTTTTACTGTATTAGTGTCCACATCGTAAGGTGCTAACCATCTTCCCAACGACAATATATACTGTAGTAAATCACATCAATTTTATTTCTAATGAAGCAATTTACAATCATAATTGTAGCGTCACGATAATATCTCGTCGTAGAAATCAGACTGGATCAAACATTGCTATCAATATAATGAAATATAGAGTGCATCGCTACAATTTTATCCAAGTCTGTCACAACCGAGATGGCAACACAAAAATGAACGGCATTCTTTCCTCTAAAGTAGTCTAACTACCTACGCAACTAACTTTCAGTACTCTTTAATCTACCAAACTTAGATTCGAGTCTTAGAAGATAGAATACCCACGTTAAGAATTAAAACTTTATTCTAAAAGCTATTTATTAAAATGGCCGATTGAACTCACAACTTATAATCTACTACTAACAACTGATAACCATCTGTTATCGACTAACTTATCAACTACCTCAATTAAGAACTTTGAGGCTTTTATATAACCTCACAAACTTCATTGGTGCAAAACAATAATGAATTTATAGCCAAGTCTGCATACTGAATATAGCTAGAATCACAGCATACTTTCTATGACATTTAATAGTAGTTAATTAATGGCTAGGTGCTACTTAACATATGATTCACTACTCAATAAAATTATAGCAGTGATGAGGTAATATTTAATTAATTATCACAAAGCCCTATTATTGCAATTAGCTTAGATTTTGAGGAATGGTTTAATCTCATAAAAGCCGATATATATTACTATTTAGGCAATTCTTTCGTTCATTTTTATAGCAATCAAAAATGAACAACTACTATGACTATATGGCTATTCAGTCTAGTTTAGTCATTTCTGAACGATTATTTACTTTAAATCAATACAGGAACTAGGGCAATCATCAGAATGATCCAATTTTAAAAGAATATGCATTAAAATTTTCTAGAGATAGTACAAATATCTGATATGCCTCTATTCGATATCTTCATAACCATTTATAATTGTGCAATACTGCCTTCAATTACCCAATTTTCCTGAAACTGTGCTCTTCTTTACAATAGACCACATAAATTCTTGCTTTCTTGTTAACATCTAAAATACGAATATAAAAGAGGGATGAACATATTACCTCGTCAATCATATACATTAGGAAGTAAATAATTCTATCATGGAATGAATACATTTGTAATTTTTTAGATTAGTTCTAAAGCTCTATATGATAGTTCTACGTACAGCTTTCAACCAGTTAATACAGCAATAGTATAAAATATCCATGGGAAAGAAACGAGCAACATGATTACTTGATTACAAATTAATACGTTCTGAGTAATTGTGAATAGTAACTCAATAGAGTTTGATTTTAAGAGATAAAATATACTCTACTATATATATATATAGTATACCGATTTCAACTAGTGAATGCTACATCGCAATAAATATAAAACGACAGGGCAACCTTATTATTTTATTTTAAATTGATGCGTACCGGTATTGAATAATTATAATCAGTAAGTAAATAGACGAGTTTGAATCAACTTCAAGGGATAAAATATACTCTAACTTATATATATATATATATATATATATATATACATGTGTATATACACTGATAGTTTGATATTATATATATACCATAAATATATATATACGAACTTCATCGAGTGAATGCAGCAATAAATACGAAACAGGTAATCTTATTACTCCATTTTGAATTGATGTGTATTAAATAGATTATAAAACAGTATGTAAATAAAGAGTTTGATTCGATTTATAGCGCCATTTTAAATTGATGCATATTAAAGAATTATAAATAGTAAGTAAATAGAAAGTTCGATTCGATTTCATGGAATAAAATTTACTCTACCTTTTGCACTGTAACCGTGTTTTCAGTCAATTCCGATGGTGTTTTATTTAATTGTTCAAGAGCTGTGGAAATGACTTTCATTATAGCCAATACCTCCCTTGTGAAAGAATAAGTCATAAAATTATTAAAGTATTACTGTAATTGTCCTTTTTATGCCACCATAATACATTGGTTTCGGTGGTTTTGAACATGTTAAGATATATTCCGCCCATACCTTAGATAATTGATACACTTTTCATGGATAATTTTAATACGCTCATACCAATTAGTCCAAGATTGAACAAATTCATCAATTCTCCTCTGATTTACGTCTAATAAATTGTTTCAAATTAAAAATGAGTTATTTGATCGCATCATTTTATGTGTTCAAATATCTGCAGTTTAGTATAATACATATTTTTCCTAAAAAGATATAAATAGATATCATATAAGGCATAGAAAATGATTCATTGCTATTCGTATATCTTAACAAGTAAAGTAAGCTTCATTCAATGTTTACTTTATTCATTAATAGAAATCAAAGACAACTATATCTAGAGTATAAAATTATTGATGATAAGCTATTTTTTTAATATAGTCAATTTCTATATTAATTTAATTTTGAATGGTAAAAAATTGTTACTTCATCACAAACCCGTTGGATAGCATTTTAAAAGGTCCTGATAATTTATCGAAATTTTATTACTGCTAAAGAAGAGTAAATATTTTATTAGTGAAAATTGATCGGTATTGACTATAAATAGAGAATATGCTTTGATAGTTATATTCAACTTTAAATGAACAGACTGGGTAATGAAATAATTTTCTAATTTAAATAAGAGGGAGAACCATGTTCTAGGATTGTTAAATTTATAGTGTGAGAATGTATGATAAAAGTTATTTGAAAAACGAAGAATCTAGCTTAGCAAAAGCTGTTTTTTGATGACGACGGCAAGTTTAGTAATATATCGAGTCCATTAGTCCGACATTCATAACTTATATTAATTAGAATTCTAAAATATCGTCGTGATAAAAGGCTATCTTACTAGTGGTGAAGATTTGCAATCATGAGTGAAAGCTATATAACAAATTCATTTTGTGATTGAAATCGGTCTATAAAAATACTAAATTATATGTTTCAATATAATTAAATAGATTCAATTTAATTCCGCTATCATCATGATTAGAAGTAGCAAAATGAAAATAATGGATCCCCTCATCAAGCAATCAATAGCTAATTGTGTCTACTATTAGCAATGCAACCATTTACACCAACAGAAATTTATTGAGCACCGTAGCGTTTCATGATAATTTCGACTTGATTGCTATCAGTCAATTGCTTACCTATTAGTAAATTCCGTCATACTATTGCTAATGTTTTCTTCTAGATTTTTACTTTGAAAAATCTCAAATTCTTTTTGGATTACCACCATATTTTGTTCCTAAAAGTCGAATTGTAATTATACTTTTTTAAATTGATGTAAGTGATTCTAACATATCAGCGCTTGAAAATAACTCCATTATCTAAAGAGCAACATACATAATCAATTTTTTACCCTATATTTGAATTTTAAAGTAAGTAATAAGATGAAGCTTATTGATTATTTACCAGCTCCGACATCTCTTTCTCAAAAGCTTTCATTCGAGTACGTGTTGCAGTTAAAGTTTCCCATTCTTTTTTTTGTTCTATAACATGCATAATAATAATTTTAAATTATCACCATATTATGACATAGAAACTACAAATACAATTTGTATCGTTTGCTACTAATTAGGCCTATAAATACATACCTTCATCTAAACATTCGATAACCCATTGGTGATCACAGCTAAATCTGATTCAAAATCAAAATTAAACTATAATTAAAATTTGTTACCATTTTCATATCAATATTTTCTATATTGTACAACATCCAAATATGCCATTTTTATGAAGCTGAATCAATTTAAATTTTCATCTCATTTAACAATTAGTAGTATTATATTACATAAATCTGGAAATGGAATATCTGATGTGCAATACTTACAAAGTCTCATAACATTTATAGATCGCATTAAACTCGGTTATTTGAGATAGGATTCCTTTCATTCTTTGTTGCATATCTTGATATTTTTTTCTGACAGTTCTAAATTTAACATTCAGGTGATTTAGCTGCTCAATGCTGATTCCAATCGTATAAGGATCATAAAAGATTAATCAACCTTGCTCTTGAAAGGCAACGCCAGTGATGAAAAAAAATCTGTTCTAATCACTTGCACTATAACGAAATAATGACTTACCTACATAAGGAGCCAGTATTCTCTATCCCTAATTTACAGTAGCTTAGGATGTTGTCCATATAAAGAAATAACCGATTTATGCTTAACCTAAATGCATACTGAATTTTAATGGGAAGATTTTAGGATGCTGTGATAATTAAAGACTATGTAACCGGTCTATCAATCGGCAAATTTAAGTTAGATTACTAGTAAATGTTTATCAGCCAACTTGATTAGCCGATATCATATGAAATAAGAAATGAGAAGTAAGCCAATAAATTAAAATACCAGATGATACTTGTCCTTTTCATTCATATTCTCCAACCTTCTGCGTTTGCAGAAGTTTTCTATATGGTAAATAAACAGATATGAGTCAGACTTTAAGACATTTTTCAATCTTTGACCGTAATTACGCATTTGGTCTAAAAAAACGTACTCAAAAATGCTAATTTGGCTCTGATATCCTGATCGTATGTTATGATGTTTTCTTCCTTGTTCATGGTTAGATCCATAGCTGTAATCCAACTGTTCTTGGTTCGCTAATCCAATCAATTTCGATCCATTGCAGCATAAATAAAAGTAATGATGTAAAATAGATTGATAGAATGCTATTTTACAGAAATTTACTCATGACATATCAAGATGGCCGTATATTTTATCCAATTTAATAAACATAAGAAGATATTGCTTAAAATTATGAAGTTATCAGCAATCGTGCTGCTTCATGGCTTATTCAGCAATCGTTATTAAATTATTATACTATATTAGTTTATATATTATTAGCACAGAATCGTAATAAATATATATGACAAAGCCCTAAACGGAATCAGAGTAAATACTTTATCTGCCTGAAATTTGATTGATTTAAGATGTAAGTATAGGCGTATTATTGTATAGTTCTATTACCATAAAATGCTTTAATATATCTTAGGGCTTAAGCTGGCATTTTCTAATTGTAAGTTTTTATAACTGGTTTTAGTGACATTAATAGATAGTATGTAATGATATACAAACAGAAAAGTTATTATTACTGAGCAAATATCGAGCTGCTTTATCCATGGCTTTCTCGCGCACTTAGTATAGTACAATTTTAAATTTTTCCTTAAGATAGATTTGAAGAATATTAGCGCTTTCATGTTAGAAGCGAGTAAAAACAAAACGTATATTAAATGTAACTACTATGATAAATTATTTGATTTGATGGGCGGGATTTGTCCAGAAATGATATACTATGTTAACTGAAGTAACAGTCGATGATCTAAATTTTCCTAAATAATGATAATTTATTTTTTGGAAGATATGGCTTGGATTCAAATAAAAAAGTGGAAAAATAAATTCATGGGCAAATTTCTGTTCTTAGTTAGCAAAAACAATGAAATATTGTCATATTTCTCTTTACTGGATCTTAATTATCCTACATCAATTACACTTACGTTATTCTTACCTTGGATCGAGCATCCATAACTGCGGTGTGAAGAACAAGTTTATAGTCGCTGATATCGCAGCTTAGACCAAAAGATTTCAAACTTGTTCTTCTAATTTCGTCCAAACTATTCGAGAAAAATGATATTGATTAGCCTAACAGTTTATATCGAAGCATACTTGATTAAAATAGAGGATAATCTACATCAAAATGATTATATTGAATCAATAGCTTCTAAAAATTATACAATAGTTACTTTAATCGGCCTTCAGAATCATCTTCTACGCTATAAATTTCCAATGTATTGGCTAAAACTATATGAATTAACTTAAAAATACAACCAAACATTGGTTACCTTTAGTATTGATCATCAATATTGGTGAGAATTCATGCTTACCCTTGTATCTTTGAAAATTTCAAGCTCATTAAAATTGAAACATTGATAAGTGTTGGTAACTTCGTTGTAACCACCTCGACGTTTCGGATTGCCATCCAATAGCAGTTGTAGAAAATTTGTAATTTTTTGAATCGTTGGACTAGAATTTTGTTTCCGTAGGATACAGCAAATATCAATATTAATATCTTATTTCCTAAAACTCCTAGATTAGGTTTCTATTTCGGCTATTTAATGTATCATTGCTTAATGTTAGAACTATTCTCAAAAATATTCAATCTTTAGCAATATAATCTTTCTTTATTATCCATAGTGATACACTGGTACTTACGCGTATAAATTATTTTCAATGGGCAGTTCAGTAGAAAATTGAACTTTGCCTATGTTTTCAATAGTCAGTTATAAATACAAGCTGTAAATTAGTATAACCTATTTATCAATTTATACTTCTAATTTTTTATGATTATCATTGATTATACCATTTGAATCCAAAAAGGTTCGAATTGCTTCTACCGGCTTTTCCATAAAATAATCTATTTTTTCCATTTCTTGTAGAGAAACGTCTGAAAATGGAAGTGATTTAGTAACGCATTCGTAAATGACCACACCAAAGCTCCAAATATCAACGGATTTTGTATATTCTTGAATTCTTATTTGTACTTCTGGTGCCTAGAAACATGTCATTAAAGGTGAGTATTTTTATTTCGACCTATACAAACTTTAAATTGGAATGTTTATCTGCTCTCTGCCTATCGATATGACTATCTATCTACCTATCTACCTACCTACTAACAAAAATTGTAATACATATCATTACACAAATGTATATGATGTATTAAATTTCTATTATCATTGCAACCAATATTATAATATGGCTGCTTAACTATATCTTATAATATAGAAAAGCAACCTACTGCATAAAAGCTGATAAATATTGTAGATGTCTTATCATTCCATATATATTTATGCATACATACAGTATACTCACAGTACAGGTATTGAATTAAATTAGTAATGAAACATTCACTATTAATTAATATATTATCATGAAACATTTCTCTACCATATAAGGACTCGTTCCTGCGAAAGTTTTGGCAACAGTTCTAGGTTCTGCTCCGGTACAGAACTTGGAGATACCAAAATCACCTAGTTTATATGTATGCTATAAAATATTATTAATAATTTAGTATATCCTAATCTAATAACCTCGAAAACTGAATAAAACTTGAACGAAAGTTAAAACTGGTTTCTCTACGATGATTAACAATAAATTTGCTAAATATCAAGTGATGCAATAAAAAATGCCGGCTGACAAACCTCGCCGTTGTGGGACATTAATAAGATATTTTCTGGCTTAATATCTCGATGAATTATTCGTTTGCTATGAATACATGCAATTGCAGAACCTAATGCAAATTATTGCAATTACGATGAAAAACAATATTAAACATCATTATTTATAAAGGACTGCAAGGGCTATCATTAAGCAATAGCAACCTAGCATAGAAGATGTAAATGCAATAGTTACTTATATCATTGATAAACTTTTTGATGTTGACTTCGTCTAAGCCAAAACGAGTTGCAGCTAAATGCTATTTAGTTGCCGTATTCAGTAATCATATAATCAATCAATTAGTAGAATGTAAAGTCAGTAAAATCGACATCTCGAAATGATTTATTTCTATATTTCTGTAACGTTACATTAATATATCGTGACAATACATATTATTAAAGCATGAATGCGTCTAGTTCCTTTAGAAAGTGTTAACGTACAATGAAGAAATAATCTGTCGTTCTAAGTTAATAGTAACGAGTTATATAAAATATCTCCTACACTTAGCGTATAGAAAACGTGCAGAAAGGTAATATATGATTTAATTTTTATTGGAAGCTGCCTTATAATCATTTTAAATTCAAATAAAATAAATATTTTCAGTTTTTTTTTTAACGAGACATACCGTTAAAATCTCGATTTGCAATATGTACTTACGTCTGCTAAATCCCCACCATTACAATATTCCATAGTAATTGAATGGCCATAGTTCTGTAATTTAGCTAATAGATCATCAGGTGCGTGTACTGTACGAACCAAGTTTTTATGAGAGAGTTTAGCCATATTACTATATTCTTCTTCCCATTTACGTATACTATTCGTATTTATATGTCTAATATTTTTCAAAGATTTCACAACGATTTTTTCCTTTGTTACCTATTCCAGGTTAATATTTAATTAGTAACTTTGCTGTTCGTATTACGGTTTTAACTTTAATATTAAAAGTCTATAAGCCTTCATCTCTACTAAGCTTTAGCGAATAGGAAATACTTTTTTGACCTCAGCAGTGTCAATGAATTAATATACTCTGAATACAAGTTAGTGCTCAATTTAAACCTGCTAAACACAATAAATTAGCAATTTATTCTCAATTGTATCCGATAAGTACTATGCCTAATGCAAAAGTACCAATGTTTGTCTACATCTTTAGGCTGTAGGGTGTCTATTTTAACAAATCAATAACATTCATATTTAGCGGTGCCTACAGGAACTCAATGAATATCAGCTAATACAGCTTGTCACATTAGTCTACATACAGAAAAGGACCATTAAGTTTAATTTCATCGCTACAAATTCGATAAGGACACATAATGAACACTATAGCACAGTATAGAAAAATCAAGACTATTCATTTTAATTTTGCACTTCTTCCTAACCAGATAGGATTTTTAAAAGTGGATCCAACTGCTTTTGTTTCGTATAATGCTCTTACTCTATTATGGAAAATCTTGACTACTCCAAAGCCTCCTTTAGTGATTTCCTTTTGAAGTTGCCAAGTTTCATCCGGAGTACGATATTGTATCATTTCTAAAATTACGGCATAAAAAATTATTTTAATCACTTTCAAATGGTGATTGGATAGTTCAGGATTACAAATCTGCTTCTGATTACATAGAAAATGATCTTGTAGTAATAATGAATTAAATAAAGGCGATGTTATTACCACTGAGCTATTTTTACATTAGTTCTTGGCTGCTAATTTCTTGTAAACAAGTTAATAATTAATTGTTTTTATTGTACGATGTTATTAAAAGATGCCATTCGTTACTAACTCATCACTATGCATTTTAATTCTTGTGCTATAATTAGAAAGCTTCATGTTTTTACATCTTTGCAAAATTTTTACTACAGCTTGATTGATTATCCGAGAGATAGGCTAAAAGTAATAGCGTAGGAAATAGCCCACATCAGGTCAAATTATTAATATAAAGTAACAGCAAATACGAGCATATGTAAAAGTCCTTAAATCTTTAATTATATCAGTAGCCTTGTTGTTAAACTGAAGTTAGAAAATGATTACTGATCATGTAATTCAACTGCATACGCAATAAGTCATTAATGTTAGAAATTTTTCGGGCTTTCTTATGAAAGTACTTAGCTTAGAAATATCATGTGCGAATAGTTCTTATTAGCTATATATCCAAGTATAAGTCTTGTACGTATAATATTCTGCGATAATGTGGTAACAAATAATTCTGAGACAAGATAAAGTAAAGCAAATATCTACAGACAAATTCGTTGAACAGCCCTCAAGGAATGATATATTCTTATTATTATTACCTCTAAGACTACGTATTTACTCTACAGGTTTCACGTAAACAAGTTTAAAGTCTGTATCGTCCTTTACAAGGGATTATATTTTCAGGAATTATCAAAAAAACAGTAGTCGATGTGTTATAAATCGTGGTTAGGAACGAGGTAAAGATAAAACCACTTATAGAAAATTAACATTATAAGATTATTGTCCAGCCTGTCCTTCTGATATCTATCGATAGTTTACGACTCTACACATTGACAATCTTCCCATCGTTAGGAGATCACAATAAATGACGCGTCTATCCTATGCTTAGCTATGAATCCAAACTTTACTACGAAATAAGCTGGTTTATAATGAATCTACATGAACATTAATAAGTAGTCAGTACATATGCGTACTCTAGATAGTATTATGAAAATATGCAGTTATCAATATATATCAATCTTAACCATTAACGCTGTTGTAGGTCAATAAAAATTGTGCAAGTTATTATCTTAGATTAGAATTATAAATTTTCCATTTGCTAGTTTAATTGATGAGAGATTAATAGAAATAGTGTTATAGTTGACTTTAAAAATGATGGATTGCAATTCTCAATAACCATCAGCAAATTACTTAATAGTATTTACATCTTGATCATAAAATTGCAAGAGAAAAGATTATCAGGTGCTTAGACGGTGAATTTAACTAGATAGATATGTGCTTGCTCAATGAACTGGTACAAATCTCTAAGTAATTGTAGAATTGAAAGAGAACGACAGTAGTAGAAAGTTTTGATGGCTGTAGCATAGTTATGGTAATGTAAAGGACTCCAATATTTAATAATTGATAGGCAGATGCCATACCGTTGCTATTATTAAAAGATCTCTAATGTTAATACATGATAATTAAATGAATATCTGGGTCCAATTGATCAGTGTTGGAGTTCTTGATTCAATTAATAGATTTATAGTATAAAGACTAGTACAAGGATATTATAACAGATGATAAATTACAGTATTCTGTAGAAGAGTGACATATATTGGTTTGTACATTATCCAGTGCAGAGGGGTTACTTCCAAACAAATAGCCGGTGAATCGTTAAAGTAGTGGGTCATGATTTGAAAGTTACTTTTCTTCTATGCTGTTGATAACATTATCATTACGACATTCACGTATGTCTTCAATTGATTCATATCATCCACTAGAATTTGATGGGTAAATTCTTGGTACGAATAAATGAATGGTAGATTGCCGTGGTAGGTTTATTCTAAGTACGTAATTAAACTAATGTTACAATGAGATTCTTAAGACTCGTCATTAATTTGTCGTATTATAAATATGGTAGGGTGCCTAAAAGTTTACCGAAGTAGCTGGATTTAAATTTGCTACCTCTTATGATACAGAGAGTGGAATATGTTGGACTCTCCGATAAGATTGATCTGAAATATGATATGGCTACTTTTAAACTAAACGGCTTAAAGCAATACTATGAGATTTAGTTTTATTCGTTTACGATAATCTTCTAGTCTACTTCGTAATTTTGTGATGTATGTATTATTGTTGCACAGTAGCTAGAAATGGATATTGATAAGATTTTTGACCGCTTATTATATATTCTTAAAGGTGGGGTATAATGTAATTATAATAATGAATTCTCCTGAATAATAAATATGCCTTAAATGGATGTTTCTAACTAATGGCAGAATTTATTAAATGAAGACTTACTGGAAAGATGGAATGTTGCATGAAGTTAAATATATGATAAAGGGCTACTGTACTTTATTATAGCACTTTTATGAGTAAACTGTAATAAGTTTAATAGTATTCAAGCCTTTATTCACGCTTAAAAGGCTAAAATAAAATATCTCAATGTTGTACACTAAATAATTGAAATTAAAGCAATCCCCATATGATTTGGAGCGTCATTTCTTAAGCTGCAATTGTGTCACATGGTAAGGCTGTTAACTTTAGCTTTACAAAATTATAACAATTTTTGCCGTTAATTGTATCAATTTATTAACATTATTAAATACGGCATTGATTTAGTAATACCATATGATTGATATCATAACCCGCTCGCTATCTAATCTAGAGTAATCTGCTATATATTTATAACGCAAAAATTAAGTGCATATGATTGATTAACAATAATCATGAATTTTCATCTATCTTCAAGGATTTTGCTTTTTAAATCTAATTAGTAATGAGCATTAAAAAAGGATGGCATGGGGTAATTATATTAACATCCGCTCGAAATAGGCTAACTTAGCGATAAATTAGATTAGTATCCGCTCTATCTATGATAAAAAGAACAGTAGTTTTAGAAAAATTGGCTTACATTACTTTTGTGTCTTTTTGTACCTGATTTACGGTGCAACATGGCTATTGTTTCGACCAAGAGTGTGCTTTCTGTGAATTTGGGATAACGAGAGTGAGATATAACTTAGATTTATAAAGCAAAGAATAGAAGTTTGGATTCTTGAAATTGTTCGTGTCGATGGATAAGTTAGATGTATAGCATATGTATTTTGTATTTTTATGTCTAAGCAGCGATTATATAGCCTAACCTTAACCAGATTGAAATTCGTTGGCAAAAGTGTAATGGATTTTGATGATATAGAGGGGATCGAGAATAGCTAATTAGGTGCTGCAAATAAATCAATAAATATCCGTAAGACACGATCGCTAGTATTCAATTTTGGGAAAAAGTAGTATAAAAAATGCCCATATTGATTCTTTGATTGAATAAGTAATCAAGTGCTTAGAAACACCTATTTTTAATAGTCATTAATTCAGATTTTGTAATATTTATTATTATAATTTATGAATATGATTACTTATCCTTAACTAGCAAACTTGCGTAACTAGATACAGCTGAAGTTTACGCCTTGATAAATAGTAGTATCTTAAGTTTCCCCTATTCATGGTCATCAGAGTTCTGATTTCTAGAATAACTGCTACGTGTATAGCTCTATTCGGGGGTAGGGGAATTTCCCCCAATTTTCTATCCGAGATAATACAGCCTATATTCAAGTTACCCCACGAAATAGATCTATTACGGTGTGTACATTTTGAGCGATTAGATAATATGAAATGTAATAAAAAGTGGCCGAGTGTCGATCGACTCCATTCGCAATTACATAAATAGCATTGGCGTATTATCCAGGACTTATGTTTTGCTAGCTAAAATTCATCAATTGTTAATTAGTTATTGCATGATGAACTTACAGTAAATTGATGACCATGATAAATTTTCAATAATATAGTTAGTCACAAAGCTTTAAGTTCGAAATAATCTGGGTTGATGCCATTCTTTCGAATAGGTTTAGATGTAATTTTATTATCACTACTTGCAATTTATTTTATCTATTGTAAACAAAATTAATGTTGCCTTGCTGATTACCGTATAGAATCCTTTCATACCTAAGGCATATATCGAAAGTTATACAGCAAGTGTGCAGCATTACAGAGCTAGTGAGATTCTATCATTTTTTTGCGGCTCCTTTAACGGTTCAATCAGTTGTAATAAAAGTATCTCATAAAT